TTGTTTTGATTTACTTTTTAATCTGGGAAGTAATTTTGAACATCACACCACCATTGTGTTTGAAAGGGTGAGTTTTTCCCCCTTTTGGTTTAATTTTTTCTTTTGTGTTGGTTTAGTTTAGTTTTGGAACTCCATCCCCACCTCTGCCTTGTACTTAGATTCTTTGAGTTACCTTATTTTTTATTTTAGTTTTCCCAGTGTGCCTTCTCAAAATGTGTGTTTGTGATGTTCATTTCCTGGGTGGCCTTGTACACCTTGGGAGTCATTTTATGAATAGGTGAATCTACCTGTGTGAGTAAAAATGCCACCAATACTTTTGCAAAATACCAGGCAAAACAATTTTGAGTGTTCCAGAATTAATGTATGGAATGGATGTGGCGATAGACATCGTGTAGGTGCTTTTTAAGGGAACTTGATAGATCATGGAGGACAGCTCTGTCCGTAGTTATTAGCCATGACATGAAATGGGCCCTCCTTTTGCAGCTGCAGTTTACCTTCATTAAATCAGATGCCAGACAAACGAGAGCAAGGTGATAATCTCTATACACTCTTTGTGGGCTTCAAGGGAGCCCTTGACTGAATAGTTCTTGTTCCAGTTGGGTATTCTTACGGCAGCCTGATCAAAGGCAAAAGTAAATATTGCCAGTTGACGATTGTATGCTTGTTGCGTGAGTCTAAGGATGCAGTCCTGTGCATGTTTAGACAGAAAAAAATCCTAGAGGTCCAAACATGGAACTGTTTTGGAACTCTAGCCAGTTGTTTTGGAAATTGGACTTTTTTCCATCTAAACATGCAAAGGATTGTGTTCTAAGAGACTAACTGTATATCTGCTCTTGTGCCTCTCGCCTCTTTTGTATGGTGAGATTTCTTTTGATGCTTTGTGAAGAAAATGAGGATAGAAAATGGCTAAAGAATTGGTGTTGTGGAAAGTAGCACCATGAAACTCCTTTCTCCTGAATATCTAAAGACAGCAAACTCCAGTGTCAAGCTAAGCATCAGAGATCTCTAGCTTCTGCATTTAATTTAAAGCCACACAAAAGTATCAGAGTCCCTGGCCCCCATAATTCACAGTTTTGCACAAAGGTTAAGTTTTTCAGACAAGGACTAATTCCAAATGTGGGACTTTACTGAGTCAACCTTTACCCAAATGCTATGAGCAAACATCACACTGCTTAGGTTTTCTTATTACATGAAATAACAGGTGTTTTTTTTTAAGATAACGACTTTTTTTGGTTTGCTCCATCAGCCAAAATATACAGCCCTTTAAACATTCACAGGAAAAGCTATTTCAAAAAGCTTTAGCTGATATCTGCAAAAGTGGAAATACTGAAAACTTAATCCTGCTTGATAAAAGCTGGTTATGCTGGTAGACTTAAACTGAGGAGACACAAGATCTTGCTATCACATGTAGAGAGTTGGAGGAAAGTAAAATTGGGCCTCCACCAACTTCTGTAATGGTAGCAAACAAGGAACTTTCCCCAAGCTGGTGCCATCCAGATAGGTTGTACAATGCCCATCATCCTGAATGCTAAACTGCATACATGAACTTGGTCAGGCGGAAGGTTATAGAGAAAAATGACTGAATGCAGTCACGGTGATGTCTGATGACTGACAGGTACTACTGCTTTAATTGGTGGTGGGCCAGAGGGAGGCAGGGCAACCAACTCCTTGTCAACAGAGCAACATTATACCCTGCTTTAAACATACCCTTAAATTTACTCTTACATTAATCCTAGCTTGTATCCAACCTTTCACCCATTTGGGTGCCTTTGACATTATTCTCTTCCTGAGCATTGCAAATGTGCTGTATTGGCATCTGAGAGTGTACATTCATATATTGCGCTAAGGATACTGTGTTATGGAACAGTCCGTTCGCTTCTACTGTATGCTTTTTTCCTGGAAGAGCAGAAGTAATTAGTTTGGATGATGATGATGACGACTAATCTCATTTCTATACCTCCCTATAGCCAAAGCTATCTGGGCAGTTAACAACAATGCAAAAAAACAAGGCAATACATTACAATACAAATTTCATAAAAACAAAGCAGCATTAAAATGAGTTTTAAATACTAATATGTGCAGTAAAAATGATCCTGTAGAAATTCCCTCAAGCCCCTGGGTAGCTAAGTAGATCTTTAAAGACTTGCATGAAGGGCTCGCTCAACCTGGAGAAAGAGACTGAATACAGAATCTCTGAGCAGGAGTGGAGTGGGAAAGAAGTGGGACTAACAGGTGTTCTTTTATCTCTCTTCAATATCTTTGGCTAAAGTAAATTAAAGCATGCCCATGACTGTGTGTCTGCAGATACCAAAGGTGAGTCTTAGGTGTACAAGGAATGACAACATTCAGACTTTGACATATATGGTTTTCCAGCTTTGGGGTATATCTGATAGAAACGTTTACCAAAATTGAGGATCCAGTTTTTCCTCTTTGAGCCAGCTGTTCATCATGACATGAGCATGAAGAAGTATCTGAATTGCATAACTTGTACACGAAACACAGAAGCCGAGAAGATGACAATTGCTCAGAGGAATTGCCTGTATTGTGAGCCGCCCCAAGGCTTTGCTGCGATGGGGGCGGCAGAAAAATGTTTTAAATAAACTCCATCAACAGGTATCAGGCACTCCTTCACTTTACATCAGACTCCTGATAAATCAGGCTAAGCTTGTCCTTTCCATCCTTAAAGGCAGCATACTGTGCTTTAAAAAAATGCTCCCATCATTTCATCGTTTAGCTCTTTATTTCACTGTCTGTCTATCAACTCTGTATGTCCTGGTAGATTTTACAAAATGGAGGCCACTTGGGGTGGATTTGCTTTTCTTTGCATAATTTGTCAAGCATGTCATACCAGCAAGATGGCATTCTCTTTGTGTGCTTTCCTGGTGCTTCTCCCAGCTGTGTTTCTTGAAATGACAGTCCCAATTTCAGCTCCTCAAAGCTTGTAGAACAGGTGTTTACATCACCTCAAGCTGTCACCACCTGGTAGCCATTTTTTAAAAACTAGGCAATGATTTTATGGAGCCTCAAAAGCAAGTAATTTTATTAGCATTGTATAATTAATAAGGGTTTAATTTTATATGCAAATACAATTTTGGCCAGGAAAATTACATTGTATGTCTCCCCCCCCCCACCCCCATCATGTTCTTCCATGTTCTAGCATATGGTGGATTCTACATTTCCCTTAGTACAGGGGTCTCAAACTCGTGGCCCATGGGCCAATTGCCAGGACGGACGGGGCACAGGGGAGGGGCCCTGCGGTCTTCAAAGCACCGGCGGCGCCCGGGCCGGCTGCGGGATGAGCGGCACACCACCACCACAGTGGTGGAATACTTGATGCGGCCCAGCCTCACCCAGACTCTACTTCCAGCGGCCCCCAGGGAAGGTGAGTTTGAGACCCCTGCCTTAGTACATGTGTGTTTAACTCTCAGAGATTTTTAGTATGCAAGAAAAAGGAGGGAGCACACCTATTTATATAATGGGGGGGGGGGGCTCCCGCCAACATTTCTAGGCTTAGCTAGAGGAATCTTCCCGAAAAGAGGCACTGTGCAGGTGCAGCACCCATATGTGTGATGCACAGAGACCACAAAGAATTTTAGTATGAAAATTTGAGCATACACTGTCAACTACTACACTTCTTTTCTGCTTTGTTGAATATTCACAGCTCTGATTACTATCATCAATATTAGCCATGTTCATGTAAGAAAATCCCCTCGGTTGCCCTTTCTCAAGCATATTAGATGACCAGAGCACTGGTCCACATCTTTAGTTTAGAATTTTCAGCCAAAAAGCTGGAACCTGTGCTTGTGGCTACTGCAGAGTTCATGCTTTCAACTATATGATGCTGTCCAAATCAGCAGAATAAAATACTTAATAGAAATGGTGAAGAACAGGCAGAATTTTTTTTCAAATCTTCAATACAAAGGCTGCCTTTTCTGGCTACACAGACAGGAAAAACAGTATGCTTGACCTGCTTCGAATAGGCCAACTGAAGATGCTAGCTCTACCCTCCAAAATTCTAAATGGCTTGGTCATTCTGTACCCAAAAGGACACTTACGTAACTTTCTCATTGTTTTATTCCAAAAGTAGTCCAATAACATCTTGTGCCAATGTGAGTTTCACAGGCCACGTTCTTGCCTTGGTGGCCGTTCTACAGCAATTGAAGCTTAAGTTTTGCTAAAAGGAATTCCATAAACCTGAATTTGTTGAGCTAAAGTAGAAAAAGTAAAAACCCTGATTTTTCAAGTTTTAATAACTGTTAAACTAATATATATGTAACCTTGGGTGCTTGTGACAATTCAAATTTACAATATAAACAAAAGGGTACAGGTTCTTACTTCCAGGAATCATGCAATTCATGTTTTTTAACCATGCCTAAACCATCCTTCATCTAAATGAATTCTAGGGCAATGTACAAGTAATAGAAAATATTAAAAGAAACCCTATTTGCAGAGTGACAATGGAGAGTACATCTAAAATAAAAGAGAAGGCAAAGGAGAACGCAAGTGCAGCTATACATTCACTGCTTTCCCTGGGAGCTGCAGAGAATGGTTAGAGGAATAAGAGAATGCTTCAATGGCATTTAATTTTGAGGAGTTATTTAAAGAAAGGAAGTGGGATGCCTCCCACTTCAGTGTTCTATAAGAGAATTCAAACTATAAGGGGAAATAAGGGAGAAAGGCTGGCATTGTAAATTGCAAAATTGGAGAAGTGAAAGTCATGTACCATAACATACATGGTGGAAAAAGGAAATCTCTCAGGTTCTTTGGAGTACTGATTTAATTTCAGAAACATTCAGCTTAAGCTATCTTCCAATTTAAAAATAACTTACGAAAATTGCAGTGCAAAATACCTTTCAAGAAAGTAAATGACTCAAAATATTGGGCATTTTCTAAACATAACCTCACTTTTAACACCTTTGGATGCTTTGCTTGTTGTAATCATAGATTGGTACAGTCATCATTTGTGGAATAGCCCAAAATACAAATTGAATATACAAATATACATTTGCAGTCTATTTATTTATGGTCAGTATACAACACATTCAATTTAAAATATGTACAGTAATATAAACAGCATAGATTACCATAGAAATTTTATAACCAGATTTAAAACAAATGTAAAACTACAGTATTTTATACAAATTAAATCCCAAGACCTACTTAAACAGTCCTAACAGTGGCTAATTAAATGCCTTGTGGTAGAGGACAATTGTAACCTTGGCCCCAAAAAGTTTTAAATTAAAAGTTTTAAATATTTCAAAATATCCACAAGTATCAGAAAATACTGTTTTCAAAAATAGTTTTAGAAGCTGAATACTAGTTGAGAGCATTGTAAAACTTCATGATACTCCCATGGAAGGCATGAAGAGTAAATTACATTATTTTTACATTTGTATACCCAGTAAAAACCCTCTATCTGCAGTTTCAGTTACTATGGTTTCACTTAACCACAGTTGGCTATGATCTGAAAAGGTTAAATGGAAAATTCCAGAAATACAGTAAACATTCATAATTTGAATTATGCGCCATTCTGAGTAATATAAAATCTTGTGCAGTCCTGCCCAGGAAGTTAATCATCCCTTTGTCTAGCATATCTACACTGTATATGCTACTCAGGTGTTAAGTCACTTAGTAGCCATCTTGGTCTGGAGTGAGGACAGTAAAATAAATATTTGAGAGAGACCATAGTCACAATATAATTGTTCTATTTTGTAATTGTTGTTAATGCCTTATTGTGACTAATATACAAATTAAACTTCACCATAGGTATTTATAGCATCTACATTATATACTGTTTGCTACAATTTGCAGTTTCAGAATACTTTGGGGAATTTGGAACCTATACAACCTATCCAGGGATCCTACTGTACGTACGAAGATTTTAATATACTTTGAAATCAGTAATTGGCTGCTGGTAATCAAGAAACAGTGAATTATCTTTACATCAGATGATCTTTGAAAGATAAGGAATTTGCTAATACTAGCAGATAAAGGAATTATCCTCTAAGTGAGATTAAATAAATCCAGCTTCCTGCAAAGAAAACAGCCTGATCCCAGTCATTTCTAAATGCAGATTACTTATTTATATGCAACACACATACGTGCTGAGAATTGGGAGACACTTGAAGAAAATATTTAGAATTAGTGTTCCTTGCAGAGAAACTCTGAAATTGAATCTCCCTCTGGTCCCACAGCTCACTGCATTCAGCAGGACCTTCTCAGTGTGTAAGCATTTTGGAAGGGGTAGGGTGCCTCCATGGACAGGAGGTGATGGCACAATACGTTTCCCCAGATTAGTTTCACATGAATTGACTTGTGCAGTATGACTGCCCACCCCCCAGGAAAGAAAGGTGCTGTATGCATTAAAAACTCATACCCAGGACCCAAGCCCACAAAGGCCAGACACCCTTACTTGATTGAGACCGCAAATATGCTTACTGTAATATAGCTGGCACATAGCTACATTCTACATGTTGCAGAATTAAATTGATATCCTTTTTTCCTTTTAAGGAACTCGAAGGCTTACATAATTCTCCTCTCAAAATTTACCCTCACAACCTGAGGTGCAAGAACACAAGAAGAGCCATGCTGGATCCATCTAGTCCAGCTCCTCATTCACATTGTGGCAAACCAGATACCCACAGGATCACTCAAGCAGGTTGGGTACAAGGCTCCCCCAGCAACTGGTGTATGCAGGTATGCTACCTCTGTGGAGGTGGTAGCACATAGCCAGCAAGGCTAGTAACTACTGACAAGTCTCCTCCCTCATCTGTCTAATCCCTTTTTAACCATCACCACTTACTGTGGTAGCAAATTCCATAGTTCTGTGTGGAAAAGGTATTTCCTTTTGTTTGTCCTAAGCATTCCACCAAGCAGCTTCATGGACTAAGCCTGGATTCAAGTGACATGGCAGAGGGAGAAAAATTTCCACATCATGCATTATTTTAATTTCTCTTTCATGCCTCCCCTTGCCTTTTTTTCTCACTTTAGTATTCCCAGTTGTTGTGGCTGTTCCTCAAGAAGTTGCTCCAGCCACCTGATCATTTTTGCTGTACTTCTCCCAGTTCAATAATGTCCTCATTCAGGTGAAGGTCACAGACTGCCAGCCTAAAGTTACCCAGTTAGTTCCATGGGACTAGAAGCCAGTTCTCTGGAGTCCCAGTCCCACACTCTTACAGCTACACTATACTGGCTCTCTAGTTGCTCTGAATTACCATATGGGCAGTGGTTCATTTTTAGGAACAATATAGCAACAGCAAAGATACAGTAATACCATATCACTGCCACTAACTGTTTAATTAAGAGTCAGCTGACTGGATCCATTCAGTCCTTTTTCAAAAGCTGGTCGGCCATTGACAAAAGAGCATATTCATTCCCTTCCCATGTATTCATTGGGAAATAGAGCAAAGCAACATGCACCCAACCCAGCAAGATATATGTCCTGAGGCTAAAGCCTATTTGAAGTCAGTGAGCCAGTTCACTTTGGGACTGGGGAAGGAAAACAGCCCACTGTAGTGTATTCAACCTCTCTGCCATTCAGTGGTTTCATGCCACTAAACTACCATAATTTTTCCCACCAGGTACTGTTTGCCATGCCATCAGAAGTCAATGTTACAAGTACAGGACTGACCATGATTTCTAGAGAGGTACCAGCCCCTCACTAGGTTCAGACAAAATGACAAATGGCTCACGGTAAAAGCAATCATAGCCATTTCATAGTGTGTAACTAGCATGTGCAAGATAGAAAAATAAGCTATGGTGGATTATTTTCCTTCCCCAGTTGTACAAACTGGTTCAAGTGAGACTTAACTCATGGTTGAACTGCCCTGAAGCTACAGTAAAAGTTAGTGTGAAGACCATGCTTTGATATCTAACAGCATCTAGGTAATTGCAAAGACAGTTTAATAGTCCATTTTAAAGATAATCTGTATTTTTAAAAAATCAAAACAACTATATCAACCTTGCAAAATGCATGTCCAAGTTGTGACTTTAAAAACAACTGCAATGAACACAACAACTTTTTCTCATTTATTTCACAAATTCAGTTATTCATCTATAACATATTAAAATAGAAAACATTATCTGATAAATTTACATAGAAAATATGCATACAGTAATAAAATACTGAAACTATTTAAGCACCGGAACATTAATATTTATTGGCATAGATTTTATGAATGTATTTTGAAAATGTTCAATAAAGTGCAATTAAATCCAGTCCACCTTAGTGGTAAGCATTTTGTACTACTGATGACTTGTTAGAAACTAGAACATTTTCGTTAGAAGTTTACTGAAAGCAAGACAGATGAAAACCAATTATTGAAAAAGTTTTGGTTTGCCTAGGAAAATAATCTACATGAAACCCAGAACAATTAAGAATCTTGTGATCAACAGTAAGACGTTACAAGTCAATACAGAATGAATTCATGAGCAGAGAAGTTAATCTTGTAAAGATTTTTTTTCAATTGCCTTGCATTATTAACTGGAATTTATATTCAATTTTATGGAAACCATTCACAATTATCAAAAATCTTGGTTAGTGTTTCCAGTGAAAGAGACAAAGTCAAAAAGCTGGAAAGACTCCCTTGCCATACATCTCCCTGGAGCCCAGGACTTGGGAGACAGATGAACACAGTGCCATAGGGTGGGCAGTAGACCCATATGCTTAAAACTGGGTCTTTCAATTTCATCTGTTGCTGTCATGCATCATTTAGCTTGAGGCTGCATCGCAACAGAATTATGTAAAGAAGCCTATTGGAACCAGTGTTTTATATTGTGTGGAATATGGCCTAATTTCACAACATTCACTTTTTAAACCTAAATAAGCAAACTTTTCAATTAAAGTGGAATATCTGTAGTAAAATGAAAAGTTTGGAATGAAAGTAGTGTTCAGTTATAAATGCTTACCCTTATTTAAATCAAACAAGACTGAAGATTCAAAACTTTATTGCATGTGCTGAATTATGGACATTCAGAACCTTTCTCACTAGAAAATGGGACTATATGGCAAATGTGATCACTCTCATATACAGAGTGAAGCAAATGAAACGTTCCCGAATATAGTATAGTATGCTCTGCAGCACAGATGTGGATGCATAATTGCTGGCTTTGAGAGAACTATGGCTTATAGCACTAATTATTCTTAAGTGGAAAGAAGCAGTCAGAACTGATTTTAAGGCTGCACCTCCAAACATGTCCTATTGTACCATATAGTATCTCAACAGATTAAAAAAGGTTCACTGTTGACAGAGATTGGACCAAGCTATTTTAATATCTATATAATATTGCGTACAGTTAAGTACAAAAGAATGCTTAACCAAGATAAGTTTGTATTCATCTTTTGGACCATCAGTAAAATATTTCCCAGTAGAAGTAATCACTAATCCTTTCCACAATTTCTCTAGCATGTTTGCACCATCCTGCCTAAACTGTTTCTTCTACATTGTTTATTATTTCAGCACTTATATCAGTTAAAGATGCACACACATCAAATTATTCCAAACCTGACTATGAATGTCCTAGAATTAGAGGAAAATGCCTCATATAACACCACACCAGCAAAAATTCAGTGGCAACACCTAATGAAATAATGTCACAACTCCAGCTAGCTATTTCAGCTTCTTTAAACCAAGCCCCATTGCAGAATGGAAAGTTGTGTTTCTATACAACTTTTTAAAAAAATCAAGATCATGGTACGTGGTGCTTTCCTATAGGAAATGAACTCTGAGTGTCCTGTAAACCAAGGTCTCTTAAGAACCATGGTAGGCAATTCTGGACAATATGGCTACAAGGTAAATATTGGATGCAAACTATTTGGCATAAAATAGCTTTAATAAATCTGGAAAATGCAAATAAGAATAAAGGCCACCACCATTAGGATCTAGTTCCTCAAATTCTAACTGCATGATCATGCATATCATCTACTATGCCCACTAATACTTTATGTACAAACAATATAGAAAAGTGTATTACCTAGTCTGTTTCATTTCAAAAGAAATGTTAAATTTTATGTACAAAATTAATTATTTTGATAAATCTTGGAGAATTCTGCATGACAGAAATGAAAGGGAGAATAGGCGTTCATAAACATCTTTTGCTTTTTAACCTTTAGTAGGTTGTCCAGTCAAAATAACTCTTTCATTGCCCTGCTCTCTCCTTACACTATAATAAATATTAACAAAGTCATTCTACATGTTGATTAAAGGCATAGTTCACCCTTTTGTGATTTTTAGTTTCTGGGGAGCCCCCAAACATATCTATTGTTGGGACAATTAAGCAGTTAAATAGTATAGTACTGGTCCTTTGTCCTTTCACAACTTGATTTTATATAGCATATTGTAGAAAATACTGCTGTTTAGTTGCCTGTAGCATACAAGTGGTAGAAACAAATAGTAGTACTAACAACTAATAGCAACACTAACAGAAGAGTCAATTGCTGGAACCAAACACAGCGGTCAATCTGTTCTCGAAGTCTTTTATTAACTTGCAGTAACTGTGTTAGCTGGGAAAGTGGAGAAAAGGGTAGATGGCATTAAAAATTATCCTTTTTAATGTATTTTACCTACAGATAGCTGCAATTTGCTAATGCTCTAAAAATACTACACTGAGAACTAGGCTTAATCTTAACATATTCAATATATGCCAGGAATGAAAACTCATCTTTTTATCACTTTTATACTCGTGGTGTCATCTCTCTCTTTAAAATCACAACTGCCAGTACAACAGCACTAGAGAAGTAGCAATAAGCACTGAATTCACTTGTAAGTTTATCTGTTTATACCACAGGTGCACATTTTAAGATATGTTACAACTTGCTGCTGTGAGAATGTGGAAGCAAGAAGCAGAAAAGAAGCAAGCCACGTCCATTGGCCTTAGGCCTGTTTCCAGGAAAACAAGACACTGGAAGCACACAAACTAATCATTTGGGTGGGTTGTTTTTTATTTGTTTGGATGGGGGGAGCTTCTGTTGGCTCACAACATTAACCCAGTTTTTCACAATGTTGAGGGAAGGTTTTCAAGTCAATCCAAGATGAGCAGAGACAGAATTATCTATTTAAAACAGATAGATGTTTAAATATATTTTCTGTGGGAATTCCCAGAGGGTTAGCTGTGGTAGTCTGTTTAGCAAAAACAAAAAAGAAATCTTGTGCCATGTTAGTTTTTAGTTTACCACAATACTCTGCTATGTTTTTGTGGAAGGGTCCTCTTCACTCAATTTCCTTAAGACAGGAGATCAAAAGCCAAAGATACTTACATGAATGTACAAGCTAGGCAAGTGCAGGGAGGGCCAGTCTATATTCCTTTCTGCCAGCAACTGCGTGCACCGTATACTAAGGGGGTTCCCAACCTTCAGGGCATGACTTTCAGGGGCACAAGATGTAGCAGGAAGAAGGGGAAATCTGAACGGTCCCAATGCATAACAGCTATTTAGATATCAGAAGCTACATCTTCATATGAATCACATTCGTAATTGTTACCTGTAGGTGTAAATCTTCATTGGTTTTTGCAGGAATATTAAAAGCATTTTCATTTAATGTTAAAGTGGAAGGCTTGCTGCTTTCTACAACATGACATCTTAATCTGGAACAAATAGAGAAATGCACATCAGTTATACTTAGTAACATTATAGAAAACTTTGGTTATATTCGTTCTTCTCAGAACCTCTCCTGTTCAACAGTTTCCAATTCCCTGCCTGTATTTATTTTGAATGTTCAATAATAATAGTATTATTCTAATCCCTGCACAGTATAGTGATAACCAAAGAGAAAAACAGCATCATTTAAAGCAGTTTTAAAATCAAACACCTAACCAGGCTTGTAAGGCAGGATGTTGAAGAATTGATTTAGCACAAGATCAAGATCAACTACACCATAAGTGGGTGGTACTGGCTCAGAGAATACCATATCAAACTGTATGGGTCTATGTGAAAAGTGAAAAAGATATATGAAAAATGAAGCATGTGGGTGTTCAGGCATAAGAGGAGGAAGCTACCAATATCTAAGACTATACAGATTTCCTCTTTCTGCAGTGCCAGGGCAGGTAATGAAATATACTAACAGAAAAAATAGGCAAACAGTACTGCTTGCGTAGCCAGATATGGAATGTGTTTAGAACATGTGTTGAGAGAGAATCCTGTGTTGTACAGATACTGACTCTACTCCTATGATCATACAAGCAAAGGAATTGATTCAGCTGTAGCACACATAGAATTATAAATATCATCACTTAAAATGTCCTAATTATGTCTCTGCAATGGCCAAGGAAGGAATCTACAACTCTTTTACACCTTTATTTTCTAGTGTAGATTTTATAGCACATTTAATTAAAATGCCTGCTAACTGCATCTGGTTCAAATTTCATGAATATCTGCTAAGATGTAAGTGACAGGAGACAAGGCTACCTGTGACAATTGTATTTATTTCCAGCTGCATGATCAATTCAAGAAACCATTTTGCCAGCACCAGCTGCTCACCTATGTTCCATCACTTTGTTTCTAGGGACTTCCTTCCAAAACTGAGCCAATTCTTGTGTTCCTACACCAAAGTTCTGATCCATTTCTGCTGCCATAATCAGAAAACGGTCTTGCAGGGAAGCTGTACAACCTGCTCAATCAACAGAAATTGGTTACTTTTCGATTTCTTTTAGGTTAGTCAGCACTGACAGTTAATTTACTATGGGTAAAAGTATGGGGGAAAAATCAACAGATACACAGCTAGCTTGCTACAGCAGATACTACAGCAGATACACAGATTCTCAAAAGACTTGCAATGTAAGAGTAGGGGAAGAAAAATCAGGAGATTGAGTGCATCCTAAGTGGAAGTTAGTATTTATCCAGTATCAGACTGGTTCCTTTTCATGGCCTTGCCTAGTGGGGTTTGAATCTCCCATCACTCAGGATTCACAGTACTGTACTGTAGGAAAAGCTGCACATTATGGTGGTTCCCTATTCTGAATCAGTGACCTGGTCTGCATAATCAAATTAAACCATAGTGGCCTATTTAAGTCACAGGGGTTGCTTCTGTAATTATTACCCAGGCATGGCTTGTTATTTCATCCAAACCCATAGCTTTGCTGCCTGGCAAATGGTATACAAATCATGCAATCTTGCCCTGTCAATTTCCTTTAAGTTTCCTACTCCACCTCCTGCTTCTTCGGACAGCTGAAACAAACTTTAAATTGACAAGGCAAGACTACACATATCAGACAGCTATAAGCGCATACTTGGAAAGGCACATCAAAGAACAACAAATTACAACACTATTTGCACATTTTTGAAAAATAAGCTGGGAAACAGTCATTTCAGCATTGGTGGAAGCACTCTCACTGCTGAGATCATGAAAAGCAAATGCCATGCTCTTTTTTGCTGCTCATGCCAATCCACTCTAACTGATCAATGCAAGCCCCAATTAAATAGGTTTCCTTGGTTTGGAGAACATGACAACCCATTGTGGGCACAAACAACCCGAGGTTTGTGCCCAACCCGTTGTAAGCCGCCCCGAGGCTTCGGCGAATGGGGCGGCATAAAAATGTTTTAATAAATAAATAAATAAATAAATAAACCCTACAAAAATAAGTCACCCTGCAGAAACCTGTCTGAATTTGGATAAAATGTCAACCTACCATGGCTGGCTGCTCATGGTGGATTGTCATGTCATGAGAATCTGGCCACTAAAGCTTTTGCTATAACTTATTTAAATCTATGTATGACTTCTAAAGCCTTTCCTAATGAAAAATAAACTTGACAATATCCTTTTCGAATCTAGCTGCCATAACATTTCAAAAACAAACCGTACACACTCACACACATACTTTTGAAAGAATATTAAACAGTATTTAACTGCAAGAGTTATTTCAAAATTACAACATATTTATCCTTATTTGCATATATAAAAAGTAATTGTACACTACCTTTTACTTATCCATCCAACATTAAATATGCAGCCCAAATTCAGAATAAATTAAAAGTGACAATGATTATATTAACAATAAATGCAATAGTTTGATATGTCTTTGTTTTTATTATATTGCACTAGATTTTGATTTTATCTTTGTGTAGATAAAGGCATACAAATATCTGATTTGTTAAATTCTCTTGAGCTGAACATACTGTTTTTCTTTTGCTAAGATTAAAAACTGGGATTCAGATTATGCACTTTATTTTTTTATCATTTCACTTTAAAGGCAACCCAAAATTCTGCTGATCAAAGAAAATAATTCAAATTCACTTTTACCTAAAAACATGCTGCTTAATGTAATTTTTGCCTGAACTCCAAAGCTGTGTGATTAAGCAGAAACTGGCCGTAACTCTTCATCCAACGAGCACATAACTTGAAATCCTGATTTCCTAATCATGTATCAGAGATCTTAATCATCAGAAAATTGCCCTCATTTTAAACACAGAACAGTCTTCAAATACGCTTTGTAATAAGATTTTAAAAATCCACTTCCTTGTGCTCCACTTCAACCATTTTTGGTTTCTTGTATTTACCTGAGGGAGACTGGGAGGAGGGGTAAAGGACAAAATTATGGATGTTCTAACTAGACAGCCCCTCAGAGGCAATCATGTTGTGGCTGAACAAGTATTTTGCTTCAACAGTGCTTCTTCCCAGTACACAAAATTTTAAACTTACTGAAGTACATGTTATAGAACTTAATTATTTCATCGCGAAAGTACTATGCAAGTTTTTACTTACCACCATGAAGAGATACAATTATATCTAATGATGTGCCTGGTTCACAACTGCTGTTACTTGGCTTCACTCTGTACTTGTCAGGAGCAGTTGTTCTCACCTAAACATAGTGTAAGTAAATTAAAAGCTACCAATTGTGCAACACAGCATTTTATACTTCTTTAATAGTTCCACTTTCCACTGTTTCTCAAATAGTAAAGCATTTGGCCTTTTTTCCTATCTGACTGCATCTTTATCATATATAAAGTAGCTCATTGGTGGGAACCTAACTTGACTAAGCAGTCGGTCTTCTTTGCCTCTCCCACAGCTGCTCAGAACGAAGTGAGCTTATTAGGACTATATCCCTTGCTATTGTTTCTAGTTGAAACTGAGAAAACCATTGCAACTCCCCTTATGCCAATAAGTAATGGGGAGGGGAACCCACATGCAGGAACCCTCTCTGCAAACTCACAACCATTTTGGAAGGAGAGCAGAGTGCTCTTTTCTCCCTGGCACTGTCCTCCCTGAACGGCTTGCATATAGCTAATGTATCTGTCTCTGTTCAAAGACTAGAGGCTCACCAGTGCACTTCCAGGGGAACTACTAGGGTTATTGGACCATTAATGGAGGGCAAAGAGCAGTGGCAACATCCTTCAGAGGTCACATGTTGCAGAAGGTATCGTAATCTTTGTTCTCCCAATCTTATTCTTGGAAGTCTATTACTTTGCATTCATTCCTGTCAGCTTTACTCTCTGCTGATTTTACAATGGAAAGTTGGACTTCCTGTGAAGCATCTTTCTAGTCAGCAAAGGGTAGACCCTCCCTTGGATCAAGTTTACCTGGTATTTGAGTGGGTTCAGTTAAGCATACCACATTTGCACAGTAACCCACTGGGGAATAAGAGTGTTCTTTCCCATGATCATGTGTCTCGTTCTTCTATTTAGTTAAAATTCCTTTGGCAAGTCACATTTATGTTCGGTTGCAACTAGACAGATTTTATCTATTGATAATTGTTCTCATCCAAGTTTTGTTTGTTAACTTTTTTAACACACAATGTTTGAAGTACAGCTGAAACCAAGGTTGGTAACTCAGGGTTTCTCCTACCACAGTAAGAAATATACCAGCCCTTTAGAGCTATCTGCTTATGGAATAGGTATTAACACATTCCTGTTGTGTCCACCCATCACTGAAGGTCTATTCACAATAAGTCCAACTTTCTGTTCCCCATTCACATCCAGAATCTAGTATTCAAAGGTTGCCTCTAATTATCAAGTTCATTTCGTTATTCCGTATGTACTAACATTTACATGGAAGAATGAGCAATCAGGAGACTTGGAGAATCCCAAGGTTTAGAGAAGCATGTTTTATACAGAAGAAATGCTAAGCAGAAAATCCTAAAAAAGCTGTATGTGGTCTGACCATGCTCAGTGTCCTCGCATCTGAATTAATATGAAAAACTTCCTGCCTGTTGGCACAGCAATATGGAAAAAAAGGTTCATAGAAGCAATGGAGTTCTATGCATGCTCACTCAGCACTTCAGTGGGCACTGCTACTGGTTTGCAGCCCTGAAAAGAGGTTACAGGACCCACTTTGACAACAGGTAACAGCCAAACTTAATTCTGAAACGTCATCTAAGCTAGTTAGCCCCAGATAATGCAGTAATAAATTGTGTGACTTAAATTATGCAAAAAAGCACTTCTTTTTTTGCTCAGAACCTACTGTATTGCCAATAATTTCATTAGGTGACATTAAATTCAGATACTATGAGAGAAATAAGCCTTTCTACCAGCTCTTCCTATAACACTATTAGCTTTATAAACCTCTTGTCATGTTTCTCCTTATTTTCATTTTTCCTGATGTTTTACTGCTATTAAAATTGGACTGAAAAACATTTATTAAAATCCATTTGTTTGTCCTTTAAGTCCATTTATCTGTCCGTGGGTTGTATTCAGCATTAATCCTACTTTGAAAAAATCCAATAATTGAATGGGATGTAAGTTTGACTAGCACTGGATACAACCCCCGTTTTTGCAATAACGGTGCAATTCTATGCATCTTTAGACAGAAAATGGGCTTAAAATATTGCAATTTGTAGGACTTTTGTCTTAACATGGATCATGCCCCAAGTTTCTTACAATGCAAGACTCTACAGTACGGTATGAACTAGTACACATACTTGTTGAAGAATCGCAAGTTACTATTTGTTAACCAGGTTAATTACAGCGTAAAATATTGCTTACCTTAAATGCAACTGTATTTTTAGTCACATTGGTTAGAACTATCAAGCATTTCTTCTCTCCAGTTTCTTTGGAACCAAAATGTAATTCTTCTGCTGGACTAATGAAAAATAGCAGGTATTCATATGTCAAGTCTGCAAACTTACACTTTTTTCTTAAAAACAGCATCTGTGCTATTTGCAATATCTGTTTATCAAGGCTTGAATCCTTCAAAAGCCTAAACCTATAGTTGTACCTTAGCTGATGGCTTTAACAGCCCACACAGTGAGACACACTTTATAAGCACTTCATACATATATAAAACTGAGTCCAGGCTTTTATACTTATTTTAAATTATTTATTTAGAAAATACAATGAAATGACAACTAGAAAAGGGTAAATGCAACTATTTTTTTCTTTTATTTGGAAAATTTCTATGCCGCCCCGTTCGCCGAAGCTTCGGGGTGGCTCACAAACATAAATAACTTCAATTAAAATAATATAACTTAACAGTATAAATTAAGTTGCCCTGGCCAAAGAATAAAATAAATAAATACTATTAACAGTTAAAATGACATTTGAATAAAAAGGTCTTCGCCTGGCTACCTGGAACCCTCTGGCTGGGGGCAGAACCAGAAGGAGGGACAGGTGTCAGCCATCTGTCCCTCCTTCTTCTACGCGGACATGTTAAGCCCCCACCGCTGTAACGTCCATTGCCCATGACCATCCCAATGGCAGCACCCACGCGCTCCCTAGGAAACTCAAGCGTCGACATGGCCAGGGACGACTCCATAAAAACAAATTAAAATACAATAAAACTATAAAACAATAAAAAACTCCCCATTCCCCCCCCGATACAAAATTAATCCCCCCACCGACCTAGTCCCCCGCCAGTCCAGCCCCGCACGGCCACAAACGGCAGCAACCGCCCTTTGGCCGCCGGTCCCAGGCCACAGCTGGCGGGTTAAGCCAGCACCCGCCCGCACGCCCCGCCCCAATCCGGCGTTGCTCTCACCGACGCCAGCGGGGGGGGGGAGCAGGGAGGGGCGCAGAAACCCGCCCGGCAGCAAGATGGCGGCGCCCTCCTCCGCACCGTCGACGGTGGCCCTGGCGTCCTCCGTGCCTGGGGTGGCCCGGCGGCGCGCCTCAGGTCCGGCGGCAGCGGTGACAGCATGGCACGGCACGGCAGGTGTTGCGGAGCGTGGCAGGTGTTCCGGGGGTGGGAGAGGGAGCTCCAAGCCAGCCCAGCCCCAGGCCGCGTCCGGCGGGTTAAGCTGACGCCCGCCTGCGCACCCCACCCCAATCCGGCTATAAATGCTACCTTGTAAAATATTCAAGAAAATGTATGTGGTAATAGTGGGAAACCTGCCAGTGGTCTTGGATCACTCCCACAATTCCTGGCCATTATGCTGACAAGTATATATGCCAGTCTAAAGCATTTGGTGAGCATCAGGTTGCCTACTCTTAATGTATGGAGTTGCCTTACATGGCACACACAACCCAGGACTGACTACTCTAATTAACAGTTGCTCTCCAAGTTCTTTCACAACTCTTGATAATCTTTGAACAGAAGATGACAGACACTGAACAAAAATCAAGTGGTGTTACATACAAGCTAAGGAACTTCTCTTACAGACTTGTCAGTTAAGCATTTAAGACAAAATGAGAAGGCTTTACATGGATTTAGGATCTATGTTATTCCATTGCAGAAATAGTGTTTGTACCATACATGCTAATCTCAGTGGCAGATAACCAAAGCAATATGAAAATGCACTCAAAAGCTTGAGAATATTAGTATTTCTGACTCTCCTTTTAAGTTTACATCCTTGTGCCATATCACAATCTGCTTTCCAAAGTCATTTTTAGAAGAATGTCATATTGCATGAGTAACTGCTGTTCAAGAAACATAACCCTGAGGCTGGGTGCAAAGAGTAGTCACATGGTTGTTCAGAGTGTGACTAAAAGGTATTGTAATTATGCACACCAATTTCTCTGTAAGGCAGCACAGAGCACAAAATTAACTTATACATGGGCTATACTTTGTTTAAAAAAATGGAAATCTCAGTCTGGATATTTGCTGTTAATTGAAATATCAGCAGGATATTTGCTGTTAATTGAAACATCCACTTCTCCAAAATTCCCAAATAGCCTAAGATATCTGAGTATTAATATACACATGGATTATATGCAGGTGACTGGTCAGAAATAACACAAGGAAGTAGTCTTTAAGAACAAAGGCAAACAGCAGTGAGAACAGTTACAACCTCTCTCATTTATTTTGGACAAACACAACAAAGCAGAAGTAGCTTTGAACAAAAGCATATAGCTATTTTCCTTGTTATTTGTACAGTTCAGCTTAATGGATGTTGCACTTGATCTTATAGGCTTTTCCGCTATTAGTTAAGAAATGTGCTCTTCAACAGCTGAAGAAAGGCAGTCCAGATGTACTTGCCCTGAACAAAGAACAACTCAAAAGAGTCATCTCTGCCCAACATCGAGGATGAAAGGTAGCAGCAATTAGTAATTGCTTCCTAAAAGCCAAGGCGCAAGCAGTGCGTTTCAAGCGCAGTCACCCTTACAGCAACAGTGTAAAGTAGGCTAATGCTATATTCATATCATAGATAGGGGATGAAGCAGAGATAGAGTAACTTGCCTACAGCTATTCAATTTGAGGAACTTCTACAATTTTTTTTAAAAAAATAGTAGTAGCTGGGAGATCAAGAAGCTTGCCTTAGGTGGCAGGAAAAATAATAAACTGCATCCTCTGACTACCCAGGACAAATGTGGAAATGACTAGGTAGGAGAGAGACTATTGGCTGGATCTGGAGTTTTGCAGGTGCCTGGAGATTTTAAACCAGTGGAAGACATTTTCACTACTACTTGGCAAAAGCGCGGGGGGGGGGGGGGCTAAATCAAACTAAGGGAAAGCCTCACCAATAACATGCAACTATTTTCTCCTCAAACTAAAACAGTCTTTCATCAAATGCACCATGTCCACTATAAAGAAGTTTTAGAATACTTGAGAATAGGTCAAATTGAACAATTCATAAAATATTTCAGTAACTTTCAAGTGACACAACGCTATTAAAATATGCAAAGGTATACAGTATGAATTCAATTATGTCATATTACCTGATATGCAACAAAGTTCCTTTAAAAGTGGTAAGCGCTTTCTTTGTATTTTTTGTTTTGAAATCTACTTTTTCACACTCTTCCGATTTTGTAGTTTGTTCTGCAAAACTTGCCTAGGCAAATACAAACAAAAAATGCCAGCTATATACACTCAGAAGTTAATGATATTTCACCACTGAGTAGAATGAAGCAAGAGTATTATGGACTCTGTTTCATTATAGTATCATTATATTGGCAGTTTTATTTTCTATCCCCCTCCTAGTTCCTCCCCAGAGCCTGGTGTCATCCAGTGAAGCTGAACAGTGGGACTCAGAACAAATAAATGAAATATTATCTTTCCACAGTGGATAATTAAAATACAAGATGCGATAATAGCCATACACTTAATGGCTTTAAAATGATATTATAAAGAACAAATGGCTAGTGGTAATCTTGGTTATATGCTACTTGCAGGACAGGTGTTTTGTCTCTAAATACAAGTCACTATAGAACAACAATGGAAAAAGCATTATTGCCTTCATGTCATGGGTTGCCCTTAGAATCTGATTAGTCACTGTGGAAAACAAGGTGCTAAACTATATAGGGCTTTGGTCCAAGCCAACAGCACCATTATATTGTTAGATCCCGCACTGCTTTTATCTCCACATGTTGAAAGTCACAGAACTGCTATTGCTCTGTACTACTACTTCCTATGTCATGAAACACCCATATTACAACAGACATAACATTTTTGTGCTGTAGCTTTCAGTCCTTGCATCACATCACTAGCCTGGAGAAGGCATATAATATGATGCTGTAGAAAGTATTATATACTAAGAGAAATGGGTGGCAGCAGCTCCTTTATCTTATGCCTAGCAGCCCCCAGTCACTGCAAACTGACTTTAAAAAGTCAGTGAACTCAACAGAGAGAGATAGGCTGAAGTAGGCGCCAGGCTACACACAGTGAGGAGTGGCACACAATTTTGTTCCCAATGTTGCCCTCAAATCCAGTTTTCCTTCCAACATGTATATTATTAGTATAAGCAAGCAGTAGTCATTATAAACATAACAAAATTAAAAATGCATAATGGTGGGAACCGATTTCAACTGTGTAATGCATTATAGTCCATTTACTTTGGTTCATGTGACTCAATTAGAAAAATCAAGAATTGAGAGAGCCCCAATATGCATGGGTTTGATTCATGTTTAGTATGTGAGGGAATAGAGTATGTTTCTAAACAATTAACAATCTGCAGAAAATTATGGTGAATAAAACATAATGTATTGAGTGGAACCTCCCCCCCCAAAAGGCCTTTCACTTCCTATAAAAACCCATAAGCATGGTTAAAAGGTAAACAAAATGCTCCAAGTAACTGCAGCACAATAGGTGCACACGTGAAAAAGACTTTCTGCATGTACTTGCATGTAAAACTGCCAAGTTGTTGGGATGGAGGTGTGAATGCAGTAGCAATGTCACGTATACACCACTTTTGGTGTCAAGCATAGGGATAAAATGCACTGTGTGTGCTATCTGATTTCGAGAATTATGGAAGGATTAGGCTAAAACTAACTAGGTTGAGTAACTCCAACAAAAACAGGTTTTTGGTTCAAACTTTCTATATCACAACTATGCTCTTGTACAGACATGAACTCTGCTCACTTTCACACAAGATTCAGGGTGGTGGGAAAAGACTTATAAATAGCTTTATAAAAAAGCTTTATTTCTGAAAAAGCTCTGAAGTTCACTACTCAAGACACAAAACATCTAAAGTTTGCTTAATATATCCCAAAGGACCCTAGTTTCCCTAACAGGCAAAATAAACAATCAGAAGAAAACAGAACAGAGAGCCAAATGGTATATCTGAGCAACTATTTCACATCATGATAGCTTCTAATATTAAATACAAGAAACTCAAACTAAGCTCAGAAATTAAAAATATGACTAACTACTAGCAATTAAACAACAGTTTCATAGGTAAAGAACTACAGCATCAAGATAGATACATTTCTATGCCTAGATAATTAATTTTGGCTGCAGGAAATGATGACTAACCAATTTTCTCCTTAGACTTTATTCAGTGTTCTATATTGTTTCATTTATTAGATTAACAGTGAATGCATGTAAAAGAGCAATGAAATGGTTTGACCATTCTTTCCTAAATGTCCCTCAGTTGAGGGATACCTTTTTGGAATTAGGTGCTTGCTCTTCGTTAGATTCTTGACTCTCCTTGTTATCCATGTCTATTCCTCCTTCTTTGCTCTCAGTTTCATCCTCATTAGTAGTGGGTCCATTTTCACATAATGGAGTTTGAAAATCATCATCAACCAATGGAGGGTAACTGTATTTAAAGGTATCCTATAATATAGGAAAGTTGGTATATGATAGCCAAAGGAAGAAAGAAGACACAGAGGAATAAGCAAGAGCAATTTTTTCTATATTTGACCCTAATACAATTTAGAATTTATATTCTAAGAAGGGAAAAGCACCGAGAATGGTATTAGGTTTTGATCCCAAATTTGCATATGATACTATCAAATAAATCATAGCTTCATTGGCTATACAATCTGGTTCAGTCTACAGTCCTAATCTGCCCTGATTTAGCTTAGTTCCTCCCATTATAACAAAGGTGTTAAATAATGGATGAGAACTGGTATTTAAGATTGGCTTTTCAGCAAATTTTACAATTCAGGCTGCAATCTAAAACGTAAGCATGCAATAGGAAAAAAAATGGTGTATGTAGGCAGCACACTGCTTGATAATTTCCACTGCTGAAGAGATAAGACATTATTCAATTTTTAAAAGGCTTCTTCCAGAAGCAGCTGCATAAAAAAACAGAAGAGCAACATTTGTCTTTCCAGGCCTGAAGCTTATTTGGCTAAATTACATTCGAAAACAAACTTGAGTATTTATGACCAGTAATTTCACTCTTTCTTGGAAATGGATAGGAGACTTATCTTGTATTAAAATTATGATTGGGCAGTAGGCATACTTAAGGGATATAACTCTGTTGAAAATTTAAAATCAAAAGAGTAATGGGAAAATTTGGTTTGCAATGACATAGAAATTTGCAACTATAAACAAACTTATAAGTTTAGGTTAAAGAAAATGAACAGCAATGGAATGACTTTATTAAAACCTAGACACTGTTTATCAACTTTTCTGAAAGTATTTAAATCCAATGTTTCTCTTTGCCTCGAGATAATTTTCTTTGCCATTTTCAATACCATTATGAATATTAGGCTGGATCTTGAAACCTGCAAATACAAGGGACAAAGTGGAAGACTTTGCTGTCTACTCCCCATTAACATTGCAGTGGGGATGGGCAAAGCTAAAATGGGACCAGGGAACCACGCAAAACCAGGTGGAGGCACCTTGCACCATTCTGGACAACAACCTTCCTTAACAGCCTCCCATGCCTAATCCCAGCCTATTTAAGTTAGACATATGAACTTCTGCAACACTGAAGGGAGAAGAAAAACTTGTTCTAAACCATGTTTGTTCTCAAATCAAAACCATTTGCCTGATTATTTTCTAGTTCCTTTTCTCTCTGCTTTAATTTTTCTCTGCTAAATTAATTTATCCACAACAGTAACACAAACATTAATAGTTTTTCAAAGAATGAAACCCCCTGCTGTCCACATAGAGTACAAAGAAATTATTCTGGATACTATAGTACCTCTCATCAGGTAACCTATTTTGAAGTAATAATATATTACCCAAGTCCAAAAGACAAAAGCAATCAGATACAGGTTGCTGCTAAGGAACAGACCAGGCCACCTGACACTGGTGTAACAATGAGACAGCCTGCATGAGGGCATCTGTAAGCCAGTCACTTCCTCACGGGAACACAATGATAAGAATTGTTCAGCATCCATCTCAGAGAAGGGCATGAGCCATTACTGGACACTTAGACAAAAATATAAGATTCTTCTGGAGCCTTCATCAAGGCAGAAAGGGCCAGAAGATATATACTCCACTGAAAACGAAGTGGGTGGTTTTATCTTCCAGCACAGGTGCCAGGAACAAGTCTTCCAGGTAGTAAGCGAGCCTGTGGTAGGCATGGGAAGAGATTAAGCCATGGACAGAGACTAAGAGAACTTTGCCACAGACATTGTGAGCAAAGAACCGTAGTGCAAGGCTGTGATTGCTAGATGGTATTTTCCCTTTATTTGCTCTTTGCCACTGATTTGCTGCTTTGATCTGCTTATTGCTTTGAGCACCGGAGCAGATTTGCCACTTTTAACTGCATATTGTTGCGCACTCAGAATCTGATAAACCCTTTTACCTATTCTGTACTTTGCCTGAATCTTTCATAAAACTTTTACACTGCTTTTATCAAAACCCAGATCACATGCTTTTGGGGTTAAAGCTGGGAGACCCACAAGATGCCTCACTTTTGGATTGTACTGTGCTGTTAAACACCCAGCTGCATACAATCATCTGTGTTTTCTTAAGGACATGGGTGGGCTGCAAAGAAGTCCAAAAGAAACCCCTCAGTAGGTTCTTTGTCAATTGTTTCCAAGCTACAGAGAGCACTTGGGAGCTGAGGAGACGGGGTTAGTTTCACTCTTGGTGGTGGCAGCTGGGACCAAGGCTTCATGCCCTCCGACAGGATTGCATGCAGGTGCCAGGTAACCAAAGAAGCAATCCAGTGATTGAACAAGTCTCAATATCCAATACAGGTCCTTTTGTCATTATGCAGTAACTGAACTGAGATAACCACCTATTACATTTCTTTGAAAAGAATCCACATAGGAACCAGATTCCAGTTACTCCATAACACCCAGTATGGCTTTATTACTAATGCTCTGGAGCAGGTGGTTTGAGAATAACATAAATATTTACATAGTTGTACGCTGCTTTATAAATTAACACTCACAACTGTAAAATTCAAACTCTAAAACCACAGCACAATAATTAATCAGGGAAGCAGCCCAAACCAAACTGCTGATTTTGTTACAAAAATTAATAAAACTAAACCAAAAGAAATTGTATTACTGATTATATTAACACAGTTATGGAAAATCAGTATACTTACAGTCCCACCCATATGAGGTGGTAAATATTCAGTACTGATATACTCCTGCACGTCATTCTTACTGGTCAACTTCAAAAAACCTACTGCATCTGGACCCAGCCAAGTTTTCACAAGTTTAAAAGCAGCTGGAGATAAAAAATAGCACAGGCTGGAAAATGTTTACTATTTTTATTTACACAGTATATAATGAGCATCTATTAGTCACTTTAGTTACAGTGGAACCACTGTAGAACTGCTTTGGTGAGACCTGTGTTAGTTAATTTACCAAATACTGCGTATTTATTACACAGAATAAAATTATACATATATTTTATTTTTAGAAAAGATTGAACAGAAGTAAAGAAAACCAAAGAAGAAGAGAAGGAGGAGAATGAGTTGTTGATTGCTAGCCATGATAAAATCTACTTTCTATGTTTTAAGACTTTTTTTGAAAAACAAAACAAAAATGTTGTCATGTTGCCTAAGCTTTGGAAACAGGATAAAATAAACCTTTTGGTTACTTAAATTCATTTATAAAAATATAAATAAATTTACAATATGTGTATACATATGTAAATACATTAAATGCATATAGCAATATTTCTGCTGTCAATCCACAGAATATGAAGATGTATAACTTCCAATAACAACCTTCTCAGATGATATTGAAAGGCAATTTAAAACTGTAACTTACCATTCATTACCCAGGGCAGTTCAAAGATCACAATTTTTGCTGCAAGAAAGAAAAAGTTTGCTCCAATAAGCTTATTACATCGTAGCCTTCTAAATAATTAGTATTTAATGACTGCTAAACTGAAAGCTCATTTGTGTCAAGTATGGTGTTTTAGAGAAAGCAGTTTTCTTCATTTTCATGTGTTAATGAGGCATAGTTATGCATCTATTGACTCAGACGGAATCAGAAGTGCCAAACAATGGAAACTGACATGAACGACTTAAAAATGAATATACTGGTTGCTTCCATGACACCACAATCCATCCTTCGAATAAGCTCATGAAATTAACTAGGGAGTGCCTGACAGACAATTGAACTCACCAAGGGTTGTCCCTTCCACTTTTTTCTCATAAAATCTGCATATGCCCTGTTAAAAACTCTGATTAGCCTGCAAAAAAATCCTGTTAAAAGGTAGACTGAACGTCATGTTGCCATAAACAAGATTACTTGCAATCTTCCACTTTCCTAAGTACCTCAACTCTTAGAAAAGCATGAAAAGGGAAGCTGTGAACAGCCAGCACTAACTAAAAAACAAAAACCACACACACACACACAAAAGGATCTTATGTACCCGCTAACCTTTCACCAACAAAGATCCATTGATGGCAACTGTCCAATGATAAGCAAAGGAACAAGTTAACCTATGTGTAGCCTTGTTCTGTCTATGTCCATAAATGGTGCCTTCCATACTTTGATGGGCAATATCATCCTGGGCATTGATGAAATAAGGTCGTTTGGGATATCTGTAGAACTTTAAACTGACAGTACAAAAACCTGTATAAAAAACCCCCAATGATAGCTAAATCAAATGTGTTGCTTGAGCATTTTAAAGGAACTGTCAGTAGCTCTCACTTTGTAGATTACAGAAAGTATTTCCCAAAAGAAAAGGGGAGAGGGAATAGTAAGGGGGAAAGCTGCACCACCTGGTCAGTGGAATCATGGTTGGTGCAGAACAGACCAAGTGCCACTTGTGCACTCAGTGGAACAGTTATCACTGGTGGTGGCTGGGCAAGCTCAGTAAAAGCAGCAAAGGAACATACGTAATTGTCGAGTAAACCCAGTCTGAACACATGTTGTCCTGACCACGTAATGCCTTGTATTTCCACTTATTTTATTTAGGACAGATGGCAACACATACAAAAGGTTTGCCTAATCATTTGAACAGAGTGAGAAAGTTTTAAATTGCATCATTAGGCTTGTACAGAGTTGCTTCTCCACTGAAGTGAGTTAGGAAACTATGGTAATATGTCAGGAACCTAAACTATGTTTGAATTTGGTTTAAGACTCTGGCTTGTTCCAAAGCTACTAACAATAGTTTCCAAGTTTGTGTGCAACAGGAAACTGTGATTAGGAGCCTGATGGTTTAATTATGCATTGTGCAAACTGTCACTACATGTAGGTGAAATTCGTTAAGCTGAGATATCACTGTCTGCAGTGGATTATTTAAATGTAGATCACTAGCACACACAACTTGAAACAATGGCCCATGTCACTTTAAAAACAGCTAAATTACTTGTTAAACTCTAGAAATGCAGATTGAAGGGTCCCCAGGGAAAAGAGGTTTCTTTTGTTTCAGACTACTTAATAAAGCAACAATGCTATTGATTGAACAATATAAATATGATTCCCTATGTGTCTGAAGAATTGTGAATACTGTATTAAATATACAGAATGATAGCTCAGCATGCATGTATTTTCTGAAGTCACAGCACAGATTCTTGCCAGGAAAGCAGTCTGATTGCAATAGCTGCCCAAATGGTATCCCTCGCTGCAGCAGTTGTCATGGGAGAAAGTTGCCAGTTGTGTAACAGTGGCTCTGCAAGCATTCAGACTCCCTCTTGGCCTGGGTCCCTTTAGAAGACCAAGCTAAGCTCAAGAGAAAGACTGTGAACACTTGGAGGAACTGATTCTAATAGAATTCATTACAACTCTACTCAGCATCTTTCCCCCATATGTCCTGCCCCCTCTTGCCAGTTCATTTCTTAACTGCAGCTGATCAGAGATAAAGAGTTTTTACTTGCTGCACAATATGCTGCACAGTTCTTTTAAGTGCAGGGAGGGAGAGGTGGGCCTGGGTAAAAAACTAGGAGCCGATAGGGTGAACTTCCATAGACCACATCCAGCTGAAGGTTCCCCATACCTGTTGTAAGGGTACAAGCCAAGGCACAAATGAACAGAACATTTTCTTCACACCCTTGAATTCAAGAAATATCTGGGGGAATATTACCCTATTAATTTAAGTTTTCTGTGCATAATTAGTTAAATTGTCAGCTAAATATTGACAGTAACTCCCAGCTGTCTTCTCCGGTGCTTTGCTACAACTAGTTTCCATGGCTTATGGAGAGCTTCAGGCATGGAATTTCAATTTCGAATAAAAAAGCTCTCCAACTGCGATATATTCTTTAAATATAGTACTGCCATCGTACTTACAGAGATAATTAGGATAGTAGATTTTAAAACAGTTGATGATGTATCGGACAAAGTCCAAGTCCTAAAATAATAAAGGTATATTACCAATTAGCAACAAAAATGTTAAATCTTATCAATAGCTTTGGTAAAACCATGAAATTATATTCAGCAATTCCACTGCTGAACTTCCCCAACACATCCTTAAAGTTACATAGCGTTTAAGATGTGCTTTAAGGGTGTTTGCATGAAGGATCTTTTGAAAAGAAAAAAAGAAGTGCTTGACAAGGAGACTGTCATTATCTTTAAAATACTTATTTGAAAACGAGGAAAGCCAAACATTAACTTAAGTAACCCTAATGTGTACATATTAGAGAACCCATATAAAAGTTACTCCATATGGTTCCTTTGTGTATACAGGCTTGACTAAAAGTCTGCAATATTGTCTCATGTGCAGTGTGGTACCAAAAGACAAAACCTTGCATGTGCTGTCAGAAGACACTTGGACTGTTGTAGCACAAGGCCAACACAGTTAGAAGTAATCAAGGGCTGCTTTTACTTTTATAAGCATACAGACCACCAAATGAATTGTGAGAACTGCCCTAAATCGCATGAATTTCACTAGTGTTATGTACTACTTTTTATTAAACAGCTGATTTTTGTTGTGGTTCATGAACCAGTTCATCCAGAATATTTAGAATTATGCCAAAGGGAAAAGAGTTAATTTAAAGCCAAGTACTCTATATTAAACAGCTTGTACATAATGCTATTTATGAAATTTCTAACTAAAACACAACTTCTAAGATAGACTATTGAATGAAAATAAAAAGTGTGCTTACTATGTTACTTATTCCAGTTTCAGCCATGTCGAAGACCACTGTCAAGGGCTTTCCATGTTCCCTTTTTGCATAGCGCTCTAACCAAAAGGCCACTAGTTTCTTTTTTTCAAACTGAGTTTTAGGATCTTTTGTATGAAGTTTCACCCTAAACCAAACTAATGGGGCAAAGCAAAAACAAAACATACATATAAATGTCAGAAAGCTCAATAAATAACTCTCAGACTAATCCCTAAATAAAGATAAAATTCTTATTTCTAAGCTACACCTCTCCTTTTAGTTTACTGAATATTATTTATGATCTTTTTTGGGGCTCTCTGCTCTAAAACCTGAAGATAAAATATGATTGATGGAAGAACATAGAAAAAAATGAAGTTAGAAATCCATTTACAATTATTTCTTAATATCCTGATGTGTGTATAAAAGATTTATATACTACTGAGGTATTAGAAATATTCTTAATGATCAAGTTTTACCCTCCTAACTAGAAAATATGCTAGTATTTGATCAAATGAGAAATAAATTTTCTATTGAATAAGATCATATATGTATCTACTTAGAAGTCCCAACAAGTTCCTTGGACCTTGATTCCATATAAAGTGGATAAAAGGATGGATGAAACAAACTTAATTTGGCCTGTGCTCATTTTTCATTTGACTTGGTATCAGGTCTGTCCCTGCCTGAACCAGCATGTGCAGATTAAAACAAAGGCTGTGTAAAATGCTTACCAAAGGGGGAAAGAAATCTGCAGTTATAACACTATAAACTACTTTCTATTAAAATCACTGAGAACATTCCTATATTACACATGAATGAGTAAATACATGACATAGAAGATCTGACTTACACATTTTATACCCTTCCTTATCATAACCATGTAGGTAAAGGGCACCAATCTCAAATAACCACTTTGGAAGGGAAGATTCAGTCAAATCTGTAGAACAGCAAGATTATTTTTATTAACATACTTTATACTATATTAGAACTCCAAAATTACGAACTGGAAGTGAAGCAAAATGTTACTATTTTTTTACTACAAAACAGATTTTGACATAGATATGTACTGACTATCCTGTAAAATCAGGGTGCCTTCTGCCTAATAATGCTAGATAAAAATCTAATAAATAAGAAGAGCAGGCTGGACTTGTAACTGACTTTATAATATTAGCATTAAGGGTCATTATGAACCTCTTCTTGAATTTAAGTGAGGGACAGGCCAGCACTTACTCCTAATATAATACACATAGTATATAAACCTTGCATGGTTTACGAAGACTTCCCTAGATCCTGAACTAAAAGTCCAGAAGGCTATATAAAATATATTGTTTGCTTTTAACCTGTCAACAAAATTTAGAACTTCATCTCCTATTCAGATTTGTCTCAACTCATCAGATCTTCTTCCCAAAATTATCAGGTCCAGGTAGCTGCCTCGCATCTTATGTAAAGAAGACAGACTAAAATAATTCATCAGTATCAGAAGCAGAATGCCTCTTATGTATCAGTTGCTGGCAACATCAAGCAGGAAGATGCCAGTGTACTCATATTCTGTTTGTAGACTTCCCACAGGCATCTAATTTGCCACTGTACACAGGACTAAATAGGCCCTTTGTCTGATACAGCAAAGTTCTTATTCATGGCAGTACTATTTCTGTATGGTTGGATTTGTACTCATGCATATAACCTGTAAACTTATTAACCATATCCAGCCCTCCTTTGAGTCCATTAACATTTTCTCAATTTAGAAAATAGTATTTTTTTTCAGGCAAGAGTTGATCTTTACAGGTCATACAACTTTATCATAATCCAGAAAGTGATAAATTATGGGTAGAGGCACATATGGAATATGGAGCAATCTAGTTTGGAATATAGCATAGACTGTACCATGAACTGCATACTCCTTTCGCCACTGAAAGCTCTCATCAATCATCTTCAGTGTATCATCCGCAACATCTTGTCGCCATATTAGAAAATTATCAATCCAGATATCATCTTGATGTAGTCTTTCCATATCTCTGGAATCATATTTATCTGTTTTTGCTGATATAAGAAGACTTACTATAAAACACATCTAGATTTAAAACTGGTACATAAAACAGGTTTTCTAACAGCCTGAACAAGAATACCATAATTGTACTTACAGCCTAAATAATCATGTTGCAACTCAAATTCCAAAAAATTACAGCGCAATGCTATGTAAAATGGGTGTGATTCCAATTGAGCACAAAAGATTTTACTTTCAAGTAAGCAGAATCAGTTATTGTGACTTTTATTTATCACAATGATTGGTTTCAGTCAGTTTTGCTACAACAGACTGACATGGGTTCTTTTCTGGCGTTCTACCAAGGAAGGTTATGGAAATAATGCTCTGATAAACAACAAGAGAATCAAAGAGATCTGGTGTGACATAATGGTTAGAGTACTGGAATGGGACTCTACACTTCTGGATGTGATGCTCACTAGATTACCTTGGACCAATCACTGAACCTTAGTTTTTAACCTACCTCACAGGGCTATTGTGAGGAAGGGGAATTCCTTCTCTTCCTCACTTTTTTAGTTCCTTGCAGGAAAAAGGCAAGATACGAATATAATAAATTATAAAACTAAAAATGTTTTGCTTGCTTTGATTAACATTAAATTGGGAAGTTTTTTTATTCAAGTGGGTAACAAGATAGATTTCTGCCTTCTAAATTTAACTAACAATATGGGGATGCCTGATTAAATTGAAGCGAGTCTTTGCGCCAAGTTAGTCTATTAAGGGTGCAATCCTAAACATATTTACATGTGTGTGGGGGTGTTAAGTCCTACTGAATTCAATGAGGCTGTTCAGAGTAGATACCATAGGATTGCAAATCTACTAGACAAGTCAACTGCTGATTACTACATTCATTATTGAACAAAATATTAACACTGATACAAGATTGCTTATGGTAGTCAGTTGCAACTTCATAAAAACTTAACATGAAAAGTAAAAAGCATACATTATCTGATTATTAATCATGTTTTTCCCCATTGTAAGTAGATGGTTCACTGTAATTAAATCAGAACAGTAAGGCCATAGAAATTAATGTTAGCAGTGATCTGACTAACAAATATTTTGACACCAGGGCTTTGGCAACTTTATATAGCAGTAATTGCAACACCTTGTATATTTCATACGATATCTGATAAAGTCTGTGTAAGTGCTTATTCCACTGAATGCTGCATAGAAGTCAATGGTGTTACTGAAACAATGAACTACTCTAACAGAAATATGTACAAGCCATGCTGTCATGACAACACATTATCTTTAGAATTAACTTCACTACTGAAATTGATGGCTGTTTTTCTTGCTTCAGTTTATCAAGATAGAAAAATCATATATAAACTTATCTAGGCATAGTTTGAGATCTCTGGGTTCAGAAATCTGTATTGCTTTGATATGAAATAATCCAATTTCTAGTTACATTCTTCACTCCCCCCCATCTGCAGGAACAGTGAGTCATTCCAAGCTTCATTATTAAAAAAGTACACTCCCCAATAAACTGTATGTGCTCTGTTCTGACAAGATAACCAAGGTATCTTGATCTAGGAAGCTGCCAGGTTATGATCTAGGAAGCTGCCAGGCAAGTCACGGTAGTATTGGTTCCTGAGCCTACCAGGAACAGATGACAGGAGGAGATATCAATGCACCTGTCAGGGATCTGTGGTATGGAAAATAGATCCAATAGGAAGAACTGGCCAGACCAAAACAGGAAAAGTAATGACCTTACTTTTGCAAATCACCCAGCAAAAATGCTTTCAGGTGGAAACAGATCCTTGAAGTCTCTGTAGAATAATGTGGTTTAAATACAGTAGTTCCCCCAACCCTCCATGCTATGGTTCATGATCATAAAAAGGAAGAAACTGAGGGAAGTAAAAGTTACCTAACTGAACTAAAATGTTTGGTTTCATTCACTTATTAACACACCAAGTAATGCTCATAATACCAGAAATTTATGCAACCTAATAAGACAGCCTTCCCCAGCCTTGTGCCTTCTCATCATCCCTATCCACTATGGCCAATGGTCAGGAATGTTGAGAGGTGTACCCAAAAATATCTGAATAACACTAAGCTGGGGAAGGCTGTCTAAGAAATCTACTTGCCTCACAGTAGGAAAACTGTGAGACCTGGTTTTTAACAGGCTGATGCCATCCATTAATACTCTGAAGTTAATTTTATATTTAAGCCACAAATGACAAACGTAAGTGTATGAGGATAATCAGGGCCTATTCAGACAGCAGCAACAATGCAATGGGGGATCACTGCAGTGAATGAAATGCACTGGATGTGTGGAAGAGAGTAATAGCTAAAACAGCTGGTTCCCAGTCTCCACTTATTAACCACTTTCTTAGAACAGCAGTCTAATTAATAAAAACACGTATGAGAAGACGGAAAGGGACAAATATAAGGAATAGTTCCTGTGGAATGTTGCCTCAGCAGTACATCAGCTCCCAATTCTGAAGTATTTTAGACATTCATTCAATTAAAAAAAAAATCTGCCAGAAGCTTGAACAGTTCTAACACAGAACTGTTCTGCATTTATTGTATTATTCTATTATGTTATGGAATTGCTGCAAACTACTTTGGGATTCAAAGCGAAAAGCACCGGAGAAATATTAACAACAAACATAGGTGCTTTTTTCTTGCCAGTATCTGATAAATAATTTTAACTTTCCTTTTCTCAGATATCCTAAGGCAACTGAGTTGCTTTTACTCTTATAATTTGAAATTGTATCAAAATTACTGCTTGTAAAGCAATGAAATGAACACAAAAAGTTCACCACTACATGTAAGTTCATATGCTGCATGAAAACAGTATCTACTGGAAACAAATCAAGACATTTACATGATAGTAAACTGTGACTATTTAAAGTCTGGCCTCCACTAAACATGCATTATAACAAGCAATGGTAACTTTATTTAAAAATTTGTATACAGTCTCATAGCCACATTGCTCTCTAGATGGTTTACATGGTCTTCATGGCAAATCCAGTTTCCATATCATGCTTAGTAAACAAATTAAATCATGCTTTTCCTGTTTGGGTGTAACAGAAAATTGGTTTAAACTAACCAGGAAAGCAGGAAAGCATTGAAACAGATACATGAAGAAAGCAGGAAGATGCAAAAGGGGATTGCCATTCATTTTCAGCTTAATAAATGACTTAGTTTATAATATTTATTTATTTTTATTTATTAAAACATTTTTATGCCGCCCCATTCGCCGGAGCCTCGGGGCGGCTTACAACATTATGTTAAAAAATACATTAAATTGTAACATTAAAATGTTTGTAAAATACAAACATTAAGTTAAAATGCAAAAAATAACAATATAAAATAAGTCGCCCTGGCCAGATAAAATCCAATAATATTAACAATTAAAATGCCGCTTAAATAAAAAGGTCTTCGCCTGGCGCCGAAAAACAAATAACGACGGCGCCAGGCGGACTCTGGGGAATGTAATGTAATATTACATTCGTTATATCCAGGCTGGCCCAATGTCCATGTAATAACTGGTGTGATACATTCCACAATGGATCAACTTCATTGTAGGGAGAAGAGAGAAACAAAGAGCACAATGGACAATTATCCTGAAATGTTTGGTTAAAGAATTGTTTCTGGCTGCTGTGCTAGTTTCCAAGATGGCACTTCATGGGGACAGTAGCAGGTTTGTAACAGAGTAACACTTAGTTCAAAAGCGTGAAGGGTCAGCAGAATTCACTGCCTCTTGCCAGTCTAACCATAGTTGGCTGGCCAGTGCTGGCAGCCCAGCAGGTTCTCAACTTACAACTGACAAGGGAAGGACACCTGGCAAGGGAGACACTCCAAGTCAGTGATGTTGTAATTTCTTATCCCAGCCAAAATGAACAACACCTGAACTGGATAAGGGAGGAAGTTAAGGTTTCTCAGCGACAGACTAAGACCTGAAGATACTGGACACAGAAACCATGCCAAAGTTAAGCAAGTCTAACTCATTGGTTAGACGAGAGACTTTTCTTGGAATCCCATATATGCAGCTTTGAATTCACTAAAGACAAGTGGGAAACAAAATTTAAAAAAGGCTCCTGCAAAGCAGGAGGCTTCTTTCACACAGGTATCAAAAATGGCTTACAAGTGCTAAATCAATACATTAAGCAAAAAGGTATTTACAGAATGAACAAAACACCACAGAAAAGGATTAGTCAAAATACTAAATAGAATGCTAAATAAAATTACAGGAGTTCACACAATTGTTTCATCCTTAATATCAAAAAGTGCATGTACAGGAACTCAGTCTTTTATTCAAAACATCTTTGGCTTGTGATGAAAGCATATTAAATAAGCTTAAAGCCACTCATCTCCTGAACTTTTAAATATTTACTATTCCAAGAACATTGTAGCACTAAAGGTGCATGGCACAAATATGGTATATAAATCTTTGTATATATAACAAACCTGGTATATATTCTGTCTCAAAACGTCTTCTTGTTTCAGTTATTAATGATATCCTGTTTTCCTGCAGAAAAATAAAATTACCAAAGACATAATCACTACAAGATACTATTTCAAACACTTCTTCCACACAACAGCTAGGCTGGCTTATGGCTTATCTGATTTTGTTTACTGGAACCCCAATATCCTCAAGTCAGTGTGAAATGCATACTTAAAATGACAAGGCAAACTATATCCGGGCACTTTCTTTGCCCAGGAATCTGGTTTCAATACCAACACTGAACAGAATTCAGAGTTCTTTCACATGAAACAACCACTCCTGGTTTCTCCAAACTTTCTTCATTTGAGAGTTAGTCTAGGGAAAAGGAAAACTTGTAACTACTACTAAGCCTGTGTTTTTGACTCTCAATTGCTTATGTGCTACAGATCATCCAGTGATCTACAAACAGATTCCAATCTGACTTTTGCTCACTTCTTCTACCACTCAGCAGATATAAGTCTAAGCATCATTATGGTGTAATGGAAAATATTCTCTTATCAATGACAACTACCCTGAGAAAGCCACTTTTTTCCATCTATTACTTTAAATTTCAGTCTTAAGAGTGTAAAAATGTTGTTAACTTTCTGGTGAATAGCAGCGGATCAAAGATCAAAATGAGTAAAATTACAACTTCTGGAGCACAATTATGGTTTTAGTATAACACTAGAGTTCAGATGTATCTGAAGAAATAATCATCTTCTAAATCAGATTTCGAGACAACACTCCTTAGGTGGATTACTAGGTAACCAAATCTGGGGTAGCGAAGGAAGTGACACAGAATTTTAATTAGCAAGGAATGACCTGTGCAATTTCAAATCAGATTAAGAGTCACTGTTTAAGATTCAGGAACCTCTGTTACCTTTGAAACTCCCCAAGCAGGATATCTATGGCGCACCATACTTTATAAAGTTGGTAATGCAACAAGTTAGTTTTTACTACTATGGGAGCTGCAGATCCTACTTCAATTCCTGGGTCAAGAATACGGAAAGTGTCCTACCAGATATGGATAGCCTTAAACTCCCATCAGTTCCTCCCACTAGCCATGTTAGCAGTGGCTGCTGACAGATGGAGCATTACACCATCTGGAAGGCCACAGGTTACCCCATCCTCGGACTTTATCATCTCCGTGCGACTTTCCCTCCTCGCAGAATCGCCCTTAATACACCCTTGAAACGCCATAACCCATTTCTTTCCCGAATTGGCACGATCAAGCTCAATTCGATCAAGAGGAAACACATATTTTGGCAAAATCGCCCCACCCCCAAACGGCCTCATCCCGGCCCGCCTCCAGAACTTGTCCCTCCGTATACCTCAGTCTGGTACCGTTTGCCCCACCCCCCGGCCCCCCTTGGCGGAAGCACTCCAGAGACACGAGTCAATTGTTCTGCCTGCCTCTCCTCTGGGGACGAAACCGGCCTCGCCGCCGCGCGGCTACTCACATCCGCCATGGTTGCGTCCGCACTGGCGGCGGCGGCAGCGCGCGAGAAAAAGCAACGACGGCAAGCGCGCGGGCGGAGGGGGCAGGAGCGAGGAGGCGCGTGACACGGGCTTAGGCAACGCCAGCCGCCAACCGGCGTCCCCCCGGCGCCCAGCGGCCGCTGCGAGACAGCCACTCCCTCCCACCAATCCCCGCCCTTCCCCTCACACCAGAGCCCTCCGAAATAAATACAAGCAGGTCACGCCGCTGCCGGCAACGCGCACGCGCACGCGCACGGGTGACAACCCCCCCCTTCTCCCTTCCCCCGCCTCCCCTCGTCCCTCGAAGCCTCGCCCACCGCTTTCCCGGCACCGCGGCACCCTATTGAAATCGTCAACCTTCCCGCCTCCACGTGCTGCCCCACCCGTTTCTCTCCAACGCCCAATGACGCTCGGCGCGCCGCGTTACGTAATGCGCCTCTGTCACGCCGTGCCCAGGATGCTTTGCGTGGCGGGATCTTCGGAGCGTTGGAGCGGCGGGCGCGTTAGGCGTGGTGGGGCAATCCTTGCGGAGGCAATGAATGAATAACGGGAAGGGGCTCTCTCGCCTTTTCTTCGCCCGCCCGCGCGCCCGCCCGCGCGCCCGCCCGCGTTAATTCAGGACTTGAGTCCAGTGGGGCTTGCTTCCAAGTAAGTTTGCGAAAGCTAATTTGCAGAAGGCAGCTGTATCCATCGTTGCAACAAAAGCTGCAAAGAGTCTTGTGGCTCCTTAAAAATTGACAGATTTCCTTTGGCATAAGTTTTTGTGGACTGTGGCCCATCTTACTGCATCAGATGGATGAAGTAATTATGCAAAATTTCAGGTTTATTCAGTACAGTATATATGGGGTTGGCTCTGGGAGACTTGTAAACAGTGAAGTCAGAAGGAAACTCAATGCTACAATTGTTATCACTTCTTTCTTGATTTAATTTTATCTTTGCTTTACAGTTCTTCTCCTATCTACTATATAGACTTAAAGTTTTCTGTAACACTTACTATACCTGACGAAGTGGGTTTAGTCTGCAAAGTTGATACCAGAAGAAATGTGTTAGTTTTTAAGATGACATATGAACTCTTCATAGGCTATTATTAAAGTAGCAGCCAAAGAGTTAAGCTTTGAAGAGGGTTAGGGTTAGGTTTGATTCCATTGAATGTGCAGATTACCTAGATTAAAGACTGCAGTCTTAAATACTGTTGCCAAAATGTTTCCGTTTTACTCCTTGGCAACTATGTTTACAGGTGTATTGAAAGAGTTATCAGTTGTGTGAACATTTGAGATGACAAGACTGATCCTTTTTTAATTTGGAAATAAAATGATTGGTAACATATTGCAGTGTCACTAAACACTACTTTTATTTTTTCAGATTGGAAAAATGCTGTTTGGAGGAAATACAAAATTGGACAGAGGAATGTTCTTAAGGGAAATAAGTGGAGTTGCCTGTCGGTGTACCATGGATATTTTTTGAAGAAAAATGTTAACAGATCAACAAGAGAAGCTGTTGTCTTATAATGGGGAACTCCTTATTTTTGAACTGTCAAAAGGCAAAACCTCACAGGGTGACATTACAAGAACAAGCACATTACATGTCACTCGAAGGACTTTTGACAATGGTACTAAATCGTTCATTGAAACATCCACTGGGTCATTTAGCATGTGTGGAAAAGATGTTGAAATGATTCATTGCAATTGTACGTCTGACTTCAGGACAGGAATTCTTCATCCCTGTATTCTGTTGAAAAGGAAAAAGAAGAAGAATATTAAATATATTCTACTACTGCTTCACAATTGCAATAAATTTGAGCAGCTGATTCAGTTTAAACTTGACTATGAACTTGAGGAACCTGTAAAATTACTTGCAGGCCCAACAGTTGTATGGACCTATGAAAAAAAATTGTTCTATATCTCTTCCCAAGCTAGTAGTGTTTCATGTGCCCCTATTCAGTTTTCTTCTATCAAATGGGCAGGTGAAATTGAGGGTGAAGGGAGTGTTGTTTTAGGTATCAGAGATGCTTGTTTGCCGAAAGGAGAAAATGGCCCAAGTGTTGCCAAATCAGATGTCCTTATCTGGGGAAGCGAGTGTTCTTTGTATGTGGTACAGAAACAGAAAGTGCTAACTAGTGCTAATTTTGTGCCCCATGCTTATAGTAGCGTAATATCTTGTGTGGACATTTCTAAAGCCACAGTGGTGAGAGGCAAGTTTAAGACATCAGTTTTTGCAGTCACATGCAAAAGCCAGCTGATCTTTTTCCAAGATGGTAAGCCTAAAGACATTCAGCAGCTTCAATTCGAGAAGCCTTGTTCAGTACAAATAGCAACAGTGGAAGGAAACAACCAGTTGGTGGTTGTGGCATTTACTTCAGGAGATGTGTGTGCAATATGGAAACATAATTTGCAGGTATTGAACTCTCATTCTAAACTATTGGTGTGCTTAGAATTTTGAAGCCTATTTTGATATACAAACTGGGTCTTCATTTAACATGAATCATAAAGCTTATTTTTGCTATAGAGCTTTGGCTTTTGGGTGGTATAGAAATAATTTTATGCGTATCTTTTCATCAAATACAGAAATATCTTATTTAATCTCTGCTAAGCTGTGTTGCACACTGAGAATTGAATGCTCAGTGCCAGGCATGGCTTATGTCATTGAAACTGGATGGTAGGGGGTTGTGCAAAGGTCACTACACCTTCACACACATCCTGCTGCCAAGGCTTGACCAACAAGCTGTGGCTAGGTGTTGAATATTCAGAATGGCTGGTTACATGCATTACATGGCTTTTTTGAACCAGCCCTACATGTCCCATGTAAGGAAAAATGAATTTTAAAAGTAAAGTAAAAATAATATAATTGAAGTAAATTTAAGATCTTACATCAATGCATAGCAGTTTATAAAATGCCTGTGTTCCATCTACAAATGTATCACACAACTTGTTGATATTCTTCATTGCTTGAAATTTTCACTACAGCAGAAATTCCTAGCGGCAGTACAGTGTGGTCCAGCCGCTGCTATGCTGTAATATTTTAACCTTGTGACCTAGTTACTTCAAATAATATTTTCATTAGATGCAAACAATATCAGTCCATATAGAAATTTCCACATGTGAATCACCCATATATTTTGGCCATTCATATGCATAAGCTCGTACAAAAGCTGAAAACACACCTCTAACTGTACTTTATTTTACAGGTGGCGTGTTTCTGGAAAAATGTAAGGTCTGTACTGGTAGATGATTTTGCTGGCGTTGGAACTGAACAAATCTTGATTCTTTTAAAGACAGGCTCTGTTTCAGAAAGCTTAAATACATTCCAAGTAACAGACTTTGGAAAGGTTCACTATATGGTAAGATTCAGTGCATAAATAACTGGGAAAGGTATTTCTAAAAACAGAGTTATCCAGGACTCCATTTCATGCTTAACATTGCTTTTTTCACGGACTAGTGGTGTGGCCTCCGTTAGCTAGTGTCTTCAGTGAAGACTGATTCAGATTGGCAGACTGAGCAACATTAGATATGTCAAGCTCCTACAAAACTATACTTTTACAGCTTTTAGATAAAACTTGTTAGATTTTTTCTTTTTCAAAAATAGCAACAATTTGGCTTTGAAAGTAGATGCATTTATCCTAATGTTTGTTCAGTTATATTCTATTTTTGTAGAACACAAGACAGTGTTCAAGGCAATCTTCCATTTGAGCACTGATCAATTCTTGCTTAGTAAGGTTGCTCAAGATTATATGGAGTCCATACCCCTTGCACATGCCTATACAAGTTCATATTTGGAAAGCTTATTTTGAAGGAAGAAATCCAGTGACTTGTTTGTTTACACAGGCAGATAACATCTGAAGGTACATAGTAAATTGAAGCCCATGTAATTAAAAGCTAAGGTTCCAGTCCTGAGATAATGTTGCACAATGTCGGACAACCTGAAGAAGCACATTTGTATTCCTAGGCTGCCTGGAAGATACATTCTTGCCTGTCAGTAATATAAATCAGAATAATATTGGATGGTTTGCATTCCAAATATGTATCACAATGCAAATACATGTCTGCATCTAAGCTACACATGCTTCCCTGTGAAGGGAATCTACAGATACTTTTTTTCACATGCAGATCTCCTTTGCCATCCATCATGTAATTCTATATTTCATCATATTTAGATTTTATATAATTACATATTCAGAATACAAAATATGTGTACCTTCTAATTAACCTCTTTTACCTTTGTGCAACCCTAACCCATTTTTCCATAGAAGGAGTCTAATTGCCAGTTTAGGACCCTGTGACTTTTACATCTCACAGAGCTTCTGTAACTGTATGTCACTTGCTGTCAGACATAGAGTTAATGTGTGTTGTCTTTCTTTAGGGTAATACAAGCTATGAAGATGATTCATCTTCAGAAGTGCTCCAGGAGAATCGCTTTCTTACCATCAAAGCACTTGAAGGAAGATTACAGGTTTAATGTCCTGCATTTAACTCTCCATATGTCTTGGCGATGGAATATTTTGCATTAACTTTCATGTATTATGTACTTTATTTTCAGTTACTTTGTAGATGGCTGTTAATGCAGAAAGTTTGATTTTTCAATATTGTAAGCATGACTGAATATAAGTGAATATTGTTGACTTAATGGGGTTTTAGCTATTAGAGTATTTGCTATCTAAAATTCTTAAAAGCATATTTTAAACTACTAAGCACAGAAAAAAGAGAAATTATTTTTGAAGAATATGCATGTAAGTCCCACCATGTTCAAAGGGGATTACTGCCAGGTACAAGTGCATGGAATTGCAGTTTTACAGAGCAAAAGACACAGAAAAGATTGCTATTGGATCTGGGGTGAACTGATGGCCATGCCTAATTGTATTAGAAAATATCTGGAAGGTAGGAAAGAAAGAGCTGTTGCCCACAATTCACATGTTTCTCTATCTTAGCTTTGCACAGTCCTTCTTCCTCTCTCTTCAATAGGTGCCAGGGGAGGAACAGGTACCTCTTGCTGGAGGTCTGAACTGGTCATTGCAGCACTCTTACCCTTTTCAGATCTCACCACCTTCTTGCCAGAGGCTTGAATAAATTGTTTGCAGAGAGCTTGCCCTTTTTCTTTCCTACAGTTCATCTGTTTTGGTGCTCTCGGTCCCCACCATATGATATGATTTTACACTAATCCTGGGATTGGAAAAGAGTGGAACTAAATTGTTTAAAATCATCATGCACTTGGAAAAACTGCTTCATGGGAAGCCACTGTATGTCACATCAGACTATTTGTAGTCCAGTAAAAATAAGATTGAACTTAAATCCAACAACTATTTTCTGAGAGAGAGATCAGGTTAGCATTAGAACATGCTAGAAGGATCATTGTCCAGCTTTATGCAAAATATCACCCTTTCAGCCCCAATTGTAAATGGCTGAAAAATAAGTGATTTGATGCTGTACTATCTCTGCTTTTATGCCATCAAATAAATCCCTGTTCTTTTTGGAAATTGGGGTTTCATTTTTGTCTCTTGTCAACACAATTATGGAAAAACTAAATAAAAAACTAATACTTCTAGAGCAGATCTTATACATTTTCTTTGCTCTAGTAGCTTTATCATCTTATGTTTTAAGTAGCTCTGTTTCCTTTCTTTCCCTCAGCCTGATAAACTGCCTGCTGCCAGGTGACAATTGAAGGAGAAAGGAGCTGGCTTCTTAGTACAGCTGGTGATGGCTTTGTTTCCTTTGTTAGACTTAATAGCTTTTGTGTATATTTAAGTGGAAGAAAACCCAACAACAATCACATTTGCCTTCAAGAAAAGGAAACTTTCTGAAATGAGGGAACTAGAACAAAGGAAGTGAAGAAATTTAAATCATTTCAAAATACTTGGGGATTACCACAGTAATAGAAGGTCAGCTAGAACGTTAGAAAAGGTAGCAGCAAGAAGTTGCTGGCATGGTTGACTAGCAGTGACAAGGAAGCCATTCAAGAGGGAGCCTTATTTAGAAAATGGAAGTCTTGTCCAAATTTGGAAACCAAAAGGGCACATAGATTTGCATAAAGGGAATGCTAGCAGACAACAAAATATGTATTTAAAGAGAGAATGAGGAGACTATATCTCTAACAACATCAAAGCTAACAATAAAGTACTTTTTAAGTATATTAGAAGCATGAAACCAGCCAGGGAGACAGTGGAACTGATGGGTAACAATGAGGTTAAAAGAGTGCTTACTGAAGGAGAATAAAGAGATTATGGAGATGCTGAATTAATTCTTTCTATCTGTCATAATTGTAGAAGGAATATTAGATATCTTTGTCTGAACTAATGTTTTCTGTAATAGAGTCTAAAGAACAGGAGTAAATAATTGCAACCAAAACTGAAGTGTTTTGTCTTATTAAGAATTTGAGAATTAATAAACTGTTAGGCCCAGATAATAACCATCCTAGGTTTTTAAAGAGCTCAAATATGAAACTGCTGATCTTCTATCAAGCATGTGCCATGCACCCAAGCACTGAATAATGGCCAATGTAACACCCATATTTAAAAAGGTATCCAGGGTCCTGAAAGCTACAGAATGTTAACTAATATCTCTTCGGATAGATGTTGAAAATGTTGTTAAAGCTGAAACTAGTGAGCATATAAAAAGAGAAGCCCTGCTGGAAAAAAAAATCAGGATGGTTTCCACAAAGAGCAGTCTCTATAACCTTTTAAAGTTCTTTGGGAGTGTCAAGATGGTCCAGAAGATAGTTTATTTGGACTTTTGAAAGGTTATCGACAAAGTACTTCACTGGAGAGATGAACAAACTGAGCAGTCATGGAATGCACGGAGAGGTCCTGTTATGGATCAATAGTTAGTTAAAGAACAGAAAGTGGAAGATAGGAATAAATGGTAAATTCTCCCAATAGAGAAAGAGAAACAGTGGTGGTCCCACAAGTATTTGTATTGGAAACATTCCTTTTCAGCTTATAAATAATGTGGAGTTAGAAGTGAACAAAGAAGTGACCTCATTTGTTGATGGCATCAGAATGAGAATTTTTTTCTGTATTCTATCAATGTTGTCATTATCCTGATATGAAAGGATTTCTAGTTTCAAAGTTAGGAAATTGGTGATTTTCTTAAAATGACAGCAAGATCTACAAGGCTGACTTCATAGTGAGCCATAATGTGTTTCATCAGAAAAGGTTCCATAACGTTATTGGTATCAAGAACCTTTAATTCTCTTTTATATTATATAGGCTGGCTTTGCTTCTGTTCGAGAACTACAACAGCATTTACGGCTCAAAGAAAAAGTTCTGATGCAAAGCTGTGATGCTTTAATAGACATTGTTCAAGATCAGAAACATAGTCTTCCACGTGCAGTAAAGGTAAAATACATGAAGAGGCATTGAAAGGTGGGTGGGTGGACTGGTAAACAGAAGTGTTTCCTTGGTTCCCATCCTTTTATATTGATTACCAGCAAGAGTTTTGAGACTGTGGGTGCTACAATAATCTAACAGGAGAAGGCAAGCTGGTATTCCCCATATGTTTTGACGTAAAACTCTCAGCAGCTCCAGCAATCATGTCCAATGGTCAAGCATTACAGAAACTGAATCCAATACATTTGGAGCCTAAATTAATGAATTAATTTTCCTTTCACATAGTTTGACCCAATTGTTTTCATTAATGAAAACAGAAGTAACAGTGAGTCCAGTTATACCAATGTTAGCCCGATTTTAACAAAGTATAGGTCCAGAATGTTGCTCTGGAGTACAAACGCTGAACAAAATTATATTTTCAGCACAAAAAGGTAAAATCACTAATGTTCTTCTGTAGTTCATATTTAATATGCTATCTGGGCATCAGTTTTCTCTGAACTGGAACTAAAGGAACATTCAGCAGAGTTATAAGTTTTGAAGCTTTCAGGTCATTTCTGTTGTAAATACAATGTGGAACATACTATAGTAATTCTAATTCTTTTTAGAATTGATCTCATAGCCAAATACATTTTAAAAAGCACTGGTTTCCTTGTGACCATCTCAAATTCTGCTTCAGCAGCTGAGCATCTTGTGTAAATATATTTGTCTTTTCATGTAAGGATGGTCTTGTTGCTCTCTGGGATGAAACAGAGAAAACTTTTGATAATGACATATCAACACCATCTAAAGACCCAGAACACCTTATAGAGGAGGTTTGGTATCGTGTCGTGGAGGATAACTTAATAGTTGGAGTGAAACTAATGGAAGCATTTGAAATGTAAGTAGTTTAATTGCTAACTGAGTCAAACGTTATTTAGCACTATGATAGTTCAAGTGTCTTTTATGAAAAAGTGTGAGGTACATTTTAATTTATTTTTAGTATAAAGTTAATATGAAGAAATGTTCAATTACAAAAATATGAAAAACAGAGCCAACCCTACGTATTAAAAAAGTTTATGTGCATTGTGTTTTTTATTTTAAATAGGATGGTTAGTGATGTCAGTTTATCTCTGATACTGAACCGGAAACGCCATTCTGTTTCTCCAGTTAAATGCCAGTGTAAAGTATTTACGTTGAAGAAAGCCACGCTAGCAGATTGTGCGTCGCATTGGCAAGTGGAACAGTTACCTAAAAGGATCAAGTTAGATTGTGTTCCTTTTCATGATGACAATGGAGATCTTTCTTGGGTGAAAGGAGATAAAACAAAAATCTTTACTGCAGTTACTTACCTGCCCTCTTTCTTGGCGTTGCATCAAGTACATTGTAAGGTACTACTGCATGCAAAGAAGAAAAGTTGTGGAGATGAAAATCAGCAGAAAAGTGAGAAACTGACTTTACTGTGTGGAGATATTAAATTAAGTCTGGCAGAGATTTCTACTGGGACATATGCAATAGATCTGAAAGATTATAAAGATACAGGTAATTGGAACTTGATAGAAGTGGTTTCTTCATGTACTTCTATTTTTTATATCAATGATGAATATATGCGTTGCTTTGCATTATGTTTATGTCTATCTCTTAAAATCTAAAACCATCATTTTAACTGAAAGAGAACAGTATATGAAATACTGATTGCAATTTGCAGTCCTCATAAGGAACTGAACCTGAAATGGATTTATTCAGGAATATCAGCATAAGGAGTTCATGGGTCCATTTAGCTTGGTGGTATTAACATGAACTGCCAGTAGCTCTCCAGGGTTTCAGGCAGAAATTTTTACAGCCCTGCCTGGAAATGCTAGAGGTTGAACCTGGGACTTTCTGTACACAAACAAGTGCTCTGTCACTGAACTTACCCCTCTTCTAGATTTTTAGCCTGCTTTGTACCAAAGATCAGATTAACAGTAACTGTAGAACAAGCCCTTCTAAAACCCACAATGAACACTAAACACTTGTCACTGTATTAAATGTGTCTCAACCCACTCAAAGTCCTTATAAGGTTTCTCAATGAGGGATTAGAACTTTATGTGTATCTGTGAGAATGTGAATGCATAATTCTGAATTAGCAACCACAATGTCCCAGAGGTTCTTCTTTGTTGATAATAGGGATGGTATGCTGGGCATGGGAAGGGATGTCCTTGAATAAGCAACACTACAATGTATATCTACTATAAAGTAGGAACTTAGATTGAAAGTATTTCTTCAGTCCTTACAAGTGTAACAGAAATCATGTCAAACATTTTCTAAAGGAAAATAAAGGAGCCTATGGGAATAATGTTTTATTATTTCAGATTCCTTAGCATACAGTGTATGAAATGAAGATATGCAGTGATGGATGCTTTAAATACTTCTACATGCCTCTTAAATCTCATGAATGATTTTCTGTCCCTCTGTAGGCTCCTTGAAAGATCTTGTTGCACTTTGTGCCTTGTCACATAAGCTGGCATTTCAAATAACCTCGGACTACACCCTGATAGTTATAAACACATGGCTAACAAAACAAATGGAGTGTACACCAATCAAGGAATGTCCTGATTATGTGATTTGTTGTAAATCTGGGAATCTGAATGGCACTCTCTTTAAGTGGAATCCAAAGGGACCATTTGAAGGAACCTTAACAATTTTTTGCAGGTAATAGCAGTTGAAAGTCTGGAAATACTTTGTTTGCTGCTTAACAAGTCCTAAAGTAGTTGCTTCATAGGTATACTACAGCAGTCCAGGGCAATAGCTGTACTGTGCCAACTGAGATGAACTTATCTTGCTTAAGCATTATAATTGCCTGCATAGATGAGCATGTAAATTTGAAAGATTGCAAATGCTGGTAGAGTGGCTTAATGCAACTACTGGAAATAACGATTAAGTAAATTTGAAGCAAGGCACACTGAGAATTAGTGCACCAACAATCCCTCTTCCTAGAGATGTTTGATCTGGCCACAGATTTATTTAAATCCTAATAGGACTGCTGCAACGTACTGTATGGGGACTGCATTTGAAAAGTGTTTGAAAACTTCAGCTTATTCAGAATGTTGTGGCCAGGCTATTGACCAAGGCTGATTAGACAAAGCACATGATACATCTTTGTTACAGCAGCTTCACTGGCTACTGTCCTATTTCCAGGCACTGTTTAGAATGCTACTTATAAGGTGCTAAAAGGCTTGGGACCAGCCTATCTAAAGGGCTACCTTCTCTTATACAAGTGTTCCTTGGTTTCATGATCTTTGGTGGAAAGGCCCTTTCCTGGGTCCTGCTGCTATTGGAAAAATGTTTATTGGGATCATTTCTTCAACGGTTTCTCCCAAACTTAGGAAATCCCTGCTGAGAGAAGCTAGGTTATTCTCCACAAGCAAATACATTTTTATTCTGGCAGGCTTTAGTCATAAGCTGTTGTGTTGCTGAAGCGAGTTTGACTTAGTGAATTAGTTTGATATTGTCTATAATTTTATTTTGTTTTAATGGAGATATTTTTCTGTTTTGTTAATCAGTATTTCATTGTTGGCTGGCAAGTCAGGTATAAATTAAATATGAATTCAAGGAAGAAACAAGCAGGGAGGAAGTGTTTAGGAAACGAGTTAGAAAGGAAATCAGTGCAACATAATACACTGAACTTCCTCTGAATTTTACACAATTCACTTAAAGGATATCTTCATGAATCATTTTGTACAGGACAGATGTTTGCTGTGGAAATGATTGAATATTCAAGCATCCTACCCCCAGTGGGAGCTTTTAAAAGCAAGAAACTGTCAAGTCATGAAACAAATCTTTGTTGTATCTTACTATGCAAACATACAGTAAGATTGCACTGGTGTATTCAGCTCACTGAATGGCTTCAAAATATCCCCCTATAAAGTCTACAACTATAGAACAAATTGGACTCTTATGTTGGTTTTGAATACAATATTTAAACAGATTGTTATGGTAAGCTTCTCCAGCAGGTTCCCCCTAGAAGTGTTGTGACTAGTGTTCTCTACAAACACCATGAGAATGTTTGAGCTAGTGCCCTCCAGGTATGTATTCCTAACACAATTGGAGGGCACTAGTTAAGGGAAGCCTTGTTTAAGGTATAACTGGAGCTTGCAATTTTACTTACTTTCTAGGCAATTTTTCAGTTAGTGGCCACATTTGTGCAAAGTGATAGGCCAGAATTCCAACAAATCCTGGTTCACCCTTCCAAAGCAATTGTGCTCATGTAACACTGATTTCTCCCAATTGGTTATTCCTATCAGTAGGAGCAGTTTCAGAAAACGTGACCTTGCCAAGAGGAAAAGGCTTAATATCACATCCAAGCTAAATTGTAAGAAGCCTGGAAACTGGTTCAGACCCCACCCAGCTTTCTTCCCCTGACAAATTCCTGGTTACTGGAATAGCTTCTGTTCATGAGAAGCCAAACAGGGAGCATCCACCAGGATGATTGCTTATGGGACAGTAAGCCAGAATTCATTGATGTTCTGACTGATCATTGTTTAGTGCAAAGGTGGCCAATGAAGCATTTGCTGTTGAGGTCCTTTTCAGCCTTGCTTTTCTCTAACTTAGCATTTGTTCCAGAAAGATTTTTTTTTTCATCTTTCAGTTAAAGCCAGAATAGGTTGCTTTGCCATTACCAACTTTCTGTTTTAAACCGTTCTGTTGATAAATTTTAATACACATTGATAACTGACTTTGTTATAAATTTGCCTCACAGGCATCAAACTGTCTTGTTCCAGTGTCTTCATAACCTCATTGAATCACTACCACCAAACTGCAAGATAAAACATCTAAAGATAGGAAGCAAGAAGGTACTTGCTGAACAGCTTGCACTTGCCATAGTGAATGAAATCGTTACTCTCCGGCATTCCTTCTCTTCAGCACTAAGTCAAACTGAAAGCAAATTGTCTCTCAGTTATGAGGAAACCAGTGAAACAACCAGTATCTCTGCAATGCAGCACGTCAGAGAAGCCTTTAAAAAGGCACAAAAGCAAACCATGCTGGGTATGAACCAAACAATAAGTGGTGCCTTATACAGAGGACTTGTTTCGAATGTATTTGAATCTCAGCTGAATTCTGACATGATTTCATGGCAATGCTCTTCGCTCTTTTAATTTTGTTTGGAGTTACTTATTAACAAAAATGATAATGCAATGCACTGTAATGACCACATTCAGGTGTCTGGAAATCATATATGGTAAATGCATGATGAGGAGGTACATGGGCAAGTCATCATTCTTCAGAAAGTATCCCTTCATAGAAATGCTTGAAATAGTGGAATCAGGTAGCATGTTCCTTCAACTGTGTTGAAGATGGAGAGTTTCTGAATGCCTGATTAGAATTTATGCTAATTCATATTTATGATTCAATGACTTTCTTTTAGTAGTGCTGTTCTGTTAGTGTAAGTGATTACAAGGATGTTATTTTGCAAATTTTCAAATGGATATATAGAAAAGCCTATATTTTGGCTGAATGGATGTATGCTTACCTATTTATATGCCTTTTGTCCATATTCTGTATTTGCACCCTTGCTGGTAAATCTCTTCCTAGAAAAGCAGATGGAGTCTTTGGTGGAGGAAAAGGGAGTGATAGGACCAGGAAAGCCTGAAGAGGCATTTGGAATTTCTTGACTCTGTAATATCTAGGTCAGGTATAAGATGGGATCCTGTTTCCACTGGAACATGCTGCTGCTCACAGTAGTTAACACAGATTTTTAACCAAGTTTTATTTCACAACACTTCTGGGGAAAACTCTTATGGTAGATACTTTCAGCTTAAGGCAATTCCACTTGTGCATTTATTTTTAAATAGCTGTCCACTGTAACTTGTTATATTAATCTGTCACAACAGGCATGGGCAATTGCCTTGAGCGAATGGAGGTTCAATATCCAGGTTAATCTGTTCAGTTAATATGCACTAGGGAGGCAGTTTCATATATTGGATGTTGTAAGAGGTGCTGTCTCTATATATGGATACTCGGAAGCCAACCATATTTGAGCGCTTGCTGAATGATTGAATAAAAATATTTTTCTATCATGTGACATTTTTACTTTTGAAATAACTGAGCAATAAAACTGCTATTGGCTTTCATGTTAATATTTTTTTCTTTAACTCTTAATTGAAAATATGTAGTATGGACCAAATTGCATTTTCGTATCAATCATAGTTTACCTGAAACAATCCTTAAAATCATAACATTTCAATTCATCCATATTTGATTCCATTCTGATTTTAATTCTGAAATTCAATTGGTCCCTCTGTTTCAGCTCAACGTGTTGAATGAAAACTGCTAATGATTCTTGTAATTTTCATGAGTACTGTGAAATTTAATCTACATAATTAATATTGCTTGGGTAACCTTGACCCTTTAGGTAAACCTACTTTTTAGAGTTGTTGGGAGGACATATAATATGTAGTATTACTACAGAGTAATACTACATATTAGTATTAAAAGTACTACAGAGATGAATCAGAAAATACTGCCAGTTGTACAGCTTGAGCTGTGATTTCAAACTTGTTTCAGACTATTCCGAAAGGGTTGGTGTGGTAAAAATGCAATGAGTTTTAAGTGGCCCAGTTTCAGGACTGGGGTAGGATAGTCACTGAAATTACTTCAATAGGTTTGTCACTTTTTGTCTTCCCATGGCAGGAGTGGACAGCTTGTGGGTCAAAACATCTGGATCAGCCCTACCCAGCATGGTTTAGGCTGCGGGATGATGGAGTTGTGGCCCTACAAGTGTTTTACTGACAAGTTGCCCACCCCTCTCTTGTGGGTACACTTCTGTTATATGTGACCAGAAATGCCCCAAAGAACCTTCAAAGACACCTGTTTAAGTTTTCATTCTCTAAGGAAGGGCATGAGTCATAAATTTTCATTGGCCAACCATTTATCATATTCCAAATGAAACCTTTGTTTTATGTTTCTAAACATAAAACATAATTTCTAATATGCAAACCCAACATTTTCCTTTAAGCATTACTCCTGGATCTCCTCTCAGTACTTTTCCCCATCCACAACTTTTATGTATATGAGGTGGGCCAAAACCCATGTTTTGCCTTGTTTTCACAAAATAATTTTGCTCTACTGACTGCTTTGAGGCAATGTAGCACACAAATAGCAGGGGTTCAACAATTTGATCAGCCCCAGCCAGTATTACCAGTGGTTAAGATTTATGAGAATTACAATCCAAAACATTTGGAAAGCACTAAGTTGTCTATTGTTACAGTATGATATAATTGCTGCATTTATGTTTTCAGACTCAGCTGCTAGAGTTGCTGAGCAACTCATGGCTTCTAATGAAAATGGATTTCTAATGTATCCAACCTTGCAGTGTACATAAATGCATGTTTTAATGTTTGCCTTGCTTTTACACATGTGATTTGTAAACTGAATCATTTCTAAAGGCTGCATTACAGAAAACTTCTGAATATGCCCACATTATATATCTTCTGAATATGCCAGCATGATATATAACTTTTCAGAGAACACTGTTTATTCCCTGACTGCAAAATTATTCTCTACTTCATGTGTATCCGTGCAATAATTGAGACTTCTTGGCAACTGTATATGGTTGTTGTCTCATCAATAACCCTGAAGGGTTACAAATACGTTTTTTTTCCAAATGTTATTTGGAGCCATTTATCACAGGTCTTGTGCACTTTAGCTCCCATCATCCCCAGCCAAAAAGGTCAAAGGATTAAGGCTTCTGGGAGTTGTAGTCCAAAATATGTGGACGGCTGGTTGCAGAAGCACAGGTTTTATGGGGTACCAGTTGGTGTTTCCTTTTTGGAAATCGATAAGAAATCTAGGGATTTTTATTAGTCTTAGTCTAAGTCCTTCCTAGCTTTAACTCTTAATTTTTTATTCAATTGTGGATAGTTATCAACAGATATTTTAAAAATTCTCCTACTAGCCACTGCTTTTGATGTATGAAATAGAGCTAGGATTAAAGATTCAACTGGGGATATTCGTCAACATCACTCATTTTTATGTCTGTCATTCTCTGATAAAAGGAGTTTGCTGCCTTCTGTAAAAGTCCTGTATTTTCATTATTTGCATTAGCGTTCAGCTTAGGTAGCTGGATTTCAATCTTTCATATTCCTAGAGGATCTGAAATCATGAATGCTATAGGATTCTCAGCATTTGTTTACATCAGGAGACATTAATGCCTGAATAAAAATATTCACAAATCCTGCAATCTTTAAGTTAATAGTGCTTCTCAAAGGCAGCAGAGCCTGCCATGTAAGCATGCATTGGTGCAGAGACATACTGCTGTAGACTCTTGTCTCTTTTAATAAGAGTGCTGCAAAAATATTTATCCTAGCCAAACAATCCAGAAAAAAGCATCAAGGATACTAGCTACCTCTGAAAGGTCTAGCAGAACCAACAGGCATTTCCCCCCACCTATTCATTTCCCGCTGTGGATCATCTGCCAAGGTTATCAAAGCCATTTATGTACCAAAACCAGCCCTGAGGCTGTACTGAAATGGGTAACCATGATGGAAAGTGTTAAGTAGTAGACAGTAACAATGGTTTGACCCGAGCCTCTCATTTGCTTATATTAGCGTTCTTGAAACTTAGAATGGGAACATTTTTCTCCTTTATAGGAAACCCGAAGTAGTGCTAAACAGATGAGTATGTTGTTCTTATGTTTCTAAATAGAATAAGGATATGCACATAATTTTCCTTACCATCACTTTGGAGCTGTTCTTTGAGTAGGTTTTTCTCCCTCTTATGGTCAAGACATTTTCCCTTGGAGACAAGGTGGAGCCTAGCTTTGGATTTTTAATGTCCCCCCATTGATTATAATACAAGGGTAGGCAATCTCTGGCCCTCCACATGTTGGGCTGCACCTCCTTTCATCACCCTTGGCTGCACTGGCTAGGTCTGACGGCAGCTGCAGTCCAGTGACATCTAGAATGACTAAATCTGCTATAACCTTTTTGTGGCAGACTTTGATTGCGTCTTCACTCGTAAGGGTCCTTGTAAGCAGATGAAACCTGCCAGAATTCAGAAAATTCCAAGGTGTACAGGAGTTTGTGTAAGGAGCCTTTATGTTTTGAGACTTACAAAGAAAAACCAAAGCAGAACTATCTATAACTATTCTTTGGCAGAACTGAATGGCATTTTCAGACTTTGTAACTCATGGGAGGGGATGAAGCCTGCCAAATTTCATACGTGTGTTGTGCTTGATGCCTTTAAAGTTGACAGGTGGAGTAGGGGAGAGAACTGTCGGTGTTTCCTGTCTCTCTTCCCAAAAGCTGCCCTGGGACCAGCACAGTCTTTGGTTGAGTTCTTTCTAATAGGGAGTATCTGTGGCTGAAAGTCTCTCAGTTTACAAGTGACATTGTGTCACTGAAATATAAGATAATGGTTGCTATACATTCAAGGAATACAGAAATAGATAGGTTTGAAATTACAAGAGGGAAATGACAGAGAGAAGAGGGGTCTTTGAGCTCCAAGGACCTTTGAAATGTTGAGGGCACAGATTTAAAATGAAAGAAAGAACAACTGTGGTATAACTCGTCTCATTGTTTGGAAAGGAACTCCTGGATTCGATGGGGACCATGCTGCTGCTGCTTGATCAAAGCTATGCTACTGTTTAAGCCATAAATGGTTTTGGGCCAGTGTAACTAAAGGACAGTCTCTTCACCAGATAGCCAATTCAGAAATCAGGCTACGTAAGTGGAATCTGGAGACTGAGAAGCTGTATTATCTCAGATTGCAGTAGTGACCATGAACTCGTAATATAAAAAATCAGAGTCAAGCTAAAAATGATTACTCACAGAAATGTAATACCAAAATACAACTTAAATAATATCCCTGAGGAATGTAAGGTCCACATGAAGAGCAGATGTGCATTGCTATGAGTCATAAAATTGTGGACTGAAACCAAATACATTTTTATGGAAGAATGCAAAAAGACAGTTCTTGTAGCAAAAAGAATCAAAAGGTCTAGATGGATGACAGAAGAAACACAGTTGCTAAGAACAGGTGAGAAGCAAAAGCAAAAGGTGAAATGGCCAGTGCAAAGAAGTATAAGGAGACAACAAAAGGGGAAAAACAAAGGGTTTCAACTAGAAGATCCAAGAGATCAAAGGGAAATCCAAACCTAGATTAGGAAAGCCGAAGGACAAAAGATCCAAGAGATCAAAGGGAAATCCAAACCTAGATTAGGAAAGCCGAAGGACAAAAGATCCAAGAGATCAAAGGGAAATCCAAACCTAGGTTAGGAAAGCCGAAGGACAAACAGTGGGACACAATATCTGACCTGGAGAAAATAAAGACAATGTGGAAAGAATATACAGAAGAACTACGCTGAAGAGAGGAAAAGATGACAGACTTTTTCAGAGAGGAATCCTGTGAGGAAGAGCCTATAATATTACAAAGCAAAGGGAAAGCTGTTTTTGAAAGCACTTGGAGGAAGCAAAGAACTCACAGAAGGCAGGATACCAGTAGAATTATTCCAGGCTGCAGAAACTGAATCAGTACAATTCCTAACAAGTATATGAGTGCAGGAACATTCCCAAATCTCACAACTCAGGTGGCCTTTATCAGTCTCCAGAATTTAAATAGAAATTTAGCCTATTTCACTACACCGAGGAAGCCTGTGCCCAGCTGAATGCATGCCTGCCAGCTTAGCCTGCTTTCCAGGTGTTAACGGGTGGGCAGCAGTCCTTCTGGATCTTATTTTAAGAGGAATTGGACAGGACAGGCCTTCAAAAATAGAAGATCTCTTTCAGTAATGAACAATTTTCTGGCAGCTGTTCAAACAGAGAACATCTGGCTAGCCTAAGTCAGCCTAGATCTTTGGTTATGAGAAAATGTTGTCATATAATACTCTCTAAGATCCATTCCAAGTCTATATAACTATTATTCCACCTCAATCACAACAAGAGTTAAATTACATTTGCATAATTTATACATGCAAAGGCTAATTTACACATGTTTCAGGTGTTGGTGCTCAGTGACTAGTT